TAGGTGCAATCCCTCCAATTAATGTTTAGGGATCGGAGGCTCAGGATAACACTTTAGTTCTTTCTTTCTTTCTTTCTTTCTTTCTTTCTTTCTTTCTTTCTTTCTTTCTTTCTTTCTTTCTTTCCTTTCCTTTCCTTTCCTTTCTCCTTTCCTTTCCTTTCCTTTCCTTTCTCCTTTCCTTTCCTCCTTTCCTTTCTCCTTTCCTTTCCTTTCCTTCTTTCCTTTCTCCTTTCCTTTCTCCTTTCCTTTCCTTTCCTTTCCTTCTTTCCTTTCTTCTTTCCTTTCCTTTCCTTTCCTTTCCTTTCCTTTCCCTAAAGCTGCTGTCAATCAAAGATTAGATTGAAAAGAGCCTTGGAGGGGATTCTTCATGGATTCTCATTCTTTGAAAAATTCCAACAGAGGATAATGTCTGTGTTGTATTTGCATAGAAAGGTCTAATTACTGTGTTGTGACTCGCAAAGGGAAGGGAGAATATTACCTAGCAACCAGGAATGGGAGCTTGGTTTAAACCCACTTGTTACCTTTTTGCTCTTTGCAAATAGATTGGTGGGTCATATGGAAACAAGGCTATCCTTTCAACCTCCTTTTTTTTTTTTTTTTTGCTAGCCAACGCCCAACAAAAACTTTCATTTCAATATTCGTGGCTGATTTTTTTCCCCTCCCAAAAGCTAGATTAAAAGGTTGTGCTAATAGGTTATCACTCACACACACACACACACACACATACACCAGGATGAACCTTTTGCTGTTGTAAATTGGCAGGGTGGGTTCAGCAGAGAGCTGAGTGACTTCAACTCTGATTTGAAGTCAAATGTAATTGGGCTGTCAAATATGGGGATTAGAACAGATTTCCCTGGCCGATTGGCACGGAAAAGTTTGAAGAGAAAACAGGAGCAAAGTTAACGAATGACCATCACTAAGGGGCAAGAAGGGGGGGGCACACGGTAGGGCTCCCCCAGAGAAGAGAGTTTGTGTTGGATCAATTGACAAAAGAGAGTGGTATGTGATCCGTTCATGTTTATGGAGAGAGTTTTGTTTCCTAAACTGGGAAACAAGTGCTAACTGAGGACAAGAGCTATTTAATCCGTGCCAATATCTCAGATTGTGTGCTTCTTATGTGTTTTTTTTTTCTATGATATGTATTTTTTCCTCTCCCTGTAACAAACCCAACAGGTCAGAGGTCCACAACCTTTTGGGCATCAAGGACCGGTTCTGTGGAGAGAGGTTTTTCCCACGGACCGGAGGGTGTGTGGTTTTGTGTGCTGCCTACATCTCACGGATGGGGCTTTGCTTGTTTGAGTGGACTGGTTGCTGGCATGCCACAGCTGGTACCGGTCCACAGATCAAGGGTTGGGGACCCCTGCAATAGATCCCAACCTATCCTGTTTGGGGGCTGTTACGGCTAAAATACAGCTGGTTGTATTCAAGGGCTGGCCTTTTGGTTTAGTTAACCTTATGCGTTTCCTCACAAATCATAGCTTTGTCTTAAATCACAGGCAAGAGACATCTCTGCAGAATCATAAAATCAATTTCGGTGGCACTTTTTCTAACACAGGTTTGTTTGTTTTTTTAAACATAACATTTTGGATCTCCTCCTACAGCAAAGGCCCCCAAACATTTTGGACACCCAGGGATCGGTTCTGTGGAGAGAAGTTTTTCCACGGACCGGAGGGTGCGTGGTTTTGTGTGTTGCCTGCATCCCGCGGATGGGGCTTTGCTTGTTTGTGTGGACCGGTTGCCGGCGTGCTGTGGCCCAGTACTGATCCACGGACCGGGGGTTGGGGACCTCTGTCCTACGGGATCTATCAATTTCACAGTGGCAAGGAATCCTGTTTTCTATTCAGCCCTCTTCTAGATTTAGTTAAAATTGTGAGGTTCCTTGAAATCTACCCTAGGAAAACTGGAGACGCCACGAAAATCTGTCTCGGAATTCTGAGATCAACAGCAAGGGAGTTAGATTCACTGGGATCTAACACCTTTCGTCTCTTCTCTTTAGAGAAGAGGCAGCAACTCCAGGTGAGGAGGATGGCTCTGCAAATTGTTGTCCATAAATTATCTCGGGCCTTCATTACGCTCCAGAGAGAGACAAAACCTCTGGCCAGCTGGAATCCTGCCCACCTCCCTTCATTTTGGAGAAGAGATTTATAGTTTGGCTCCTTCACATCAAACATGTCTTGAGCGTTCTCATATTTGAGGTAGAGGGACCCAGAGAAAAGGCAGAACCAGCCGCATGGAGTAAGGAGTAAGGAGGACCACACCTGGAATATTGCATCCCGTTTTGGTCCCCTGGTTTAAAAAAAAAAGATGTTGAGACTCTGGAAAGAGTGGAGAGAAGAGCAACAAAGATGTTTAGGGGACTGGAGACCAAAACAAGCACAAGGTCTGGTCCAGATCATCACTGGGAATCTGGATTGACTTGAGAGAGTCTTCCAAGTTCACATGTAGAATATTGCGTCCAGTTTTGGTTAGCATGTTATGAAAAAGATGCAGAGACTCTAGAAAGAGTGCAGAAAAGGAGCAAGAAAGGTGATTAGGGGGCTGGAAGCTAAAACATGCAAAGAATAGTTGCAAGAATTGCAACTCCTCTAGTGAAAAGAAGGACTAGTCCAGGGGTCTTTAACCTTGGCCCTTTTATGACTTGTGGACTTCAACTCCCAGAATTCCTTAGCCAGTGTGCACGCTGGCAGAGGAATTCTGGGAGTTGAAGTCCACAAGTCATAAAAGGGCCAAGGTTGAAGACCTCTGGACTAGGATGATGTAATAATAATAATAATAATAAAGTTGGAATGGACCTTGGAGGTCATCTAGTCCAACCTCCTGCTCAGGCAGGAAACCCTATCCCATTTCAGACAAGTGTCTGTCCAGTCTCTTCTTAAAAACCTCCAGTGTTGAAGCATTCACAGCTTCTGGAGGCAGGTTGTTCACTGGTTAATTGTTCTCACTGTCAGGAAATTTCTCCTTAGTTCCAGGTTGCTTCTCTCCTTGATTAGTTCCCATCCGTTGCTTCTTGTCCTGCCTTCAGGCGCTTTGGAGAATAGCTTGACCCCCTCTTCTTTGGGGCAGCCCCTGAGATACTGGAAGGCTGCTATCACATTCCCCCCTCGCCCTTCTCTTCGGTAAACTAGACAGACCCAATTCCAGCAGCAGTCTTCCAATATTTGACAGGCTGCCACAAAGAAGAGGGGGGTCAACCTATTCTCCAAAGCACCTGAAGGCAGGACAAGAAGCAACGGATGGGAACTAATCAAGGAGAGAAGCAACCTGGAACTAAGGAGAAATTTCCTGACAGTTTCGAACAATTAATCAGTGAAACTGCTTGCCTCCAGAAGTTGTGAATGCTCCATCACTGGAGGCTTTCAAGTGGAAAAAAAGGACTAGGGGATTGGTCTACCAGAAGACTTCCAAAATCCCTTCCAGCTATGTTCTCCTGTAACTCTGCCATTTATTTATTGATTGAATTTATCTAGCTGCCCAGCTCTGTTGCACTCCATATTTTTTCATGGCTATTTTACCTACAACCGTCGCAGCCCAAACCGGATCCCTGCTTTCTGTTTTAAAATATTGAGGATGACCTATTTATTGTTTGCTTGGACGCTGCCCAAGAAATCTTTGCTGGAGAAAGTCGATGGTTTGAGCAGCTCCTGAGAAAGATGTCATGCTTTGAGGTCCCGGAAATGCAAGCGAGATATAAAAGCTATTAAAGAGGCTGTTAACAACCATAATGGACCATTTTCTTGGTCGGTGATTTAAACGTTTCTCCATCTGAGCGAGCTTGTATTAGCCTCACTGCGGAGAGTGGCCAAGTTTTCCGGCAGGCTTTGGCAAGACAGGCAGTTTGAGAGTGAATGTGCCAGGATATCAGACCTGGGAGAGTACAAGCAGTCCCTGACTTAACAATGGTTTGTTTAGTCAGTGGCCAAGACTCTGAATTTTGATCACGTGACCTAGAGGAGGCTGCCACGGTCGTAAGCGGTGAGCGATCACTTTTTTCAACGCCTTCGTCACTTCAGTGCTGTTTGAAGTGACGACGGTCGCGTGAAAGAAAATCCAGATGCTTTAATGACTGTTCAAAGTTACAACGGCAGTGAAAAAAAGGGGCTTACGGACATTTTTCACACTTACGACCGTTGCAGCACCCCTACGCTCATGTGATTTGCCTTTGGAAGTTTGGCAACTGGTTTGTATTTATGACAGTCATAGTGTCCCGCTGGGGGTCACGTGATCCCCTTTTTGTGGCCTCCTGACAAGCAAAGTCAGAAGCCGGAATCAGTTAACGGCAGTGTTATCTGGGGAAGCTGGAATTAGTTAATGGCCGTGTTATCTAGGGAAGCCGGAATCAGTTAACGGCAGTGTTATCTGGGGAAGCCGGAATCAGTTAACGGCCGTGTTATCTGGGGAAGCCGGAATCAGTTAACGGCCGTGTTATCTGGGGAAGCCGGAATCAGTTAACGGCCGTGTTATCTGGGGAAGCCGGAATCAGTTAACGGCTGTGTTATCTAGGGAAGCCGGAATCAGTTAACGACCGTGTTATCTGAGGAAGCTGGAATCAGTTAATGGCCGTGTTATCTGGGGGAAGCCAGAATCAGTTAACGGCCGTGTTATCTGGGGAAGCCGGAATCAGTTAACGGCTGTGTTATCTGGGGAAGCCGAAATAATTAACGGCCGTGTTATCTGGGGAAGCTGGAATCAGGTAACGGCCGTGTTATCTGGGGAAGCCGGAATCAGTTAACGACCGTGTTATCTGAGGAAGCGGGCTTCACTTAACAACTGTGTTAAGTATCTGCACTTCACAGCCTTCTGAATGTAGGGGGAATTGGGATAACTTCAAAGACGCCAAACCAGGAAGAAAGAGTTTGAGCTGGAAAGTAATGTGTGATCCCTAAATACCGAAAAATAGGAATAGAAAGAAAAGCAAATATTGAAGACGCCGAAGGAAAACGAAGGGCTGTGTGGGGCCTGAAGTGCGATGACTATTTTATTTTTCTCCTGATGCCTTTTAGGTGTACAGCGGCCCCCCCAAACCTCTTCTTCCTGTCGCCATGCCGAATCCTGCCCCGCCTGCTGTTCAAACCCCTTTGGCGCCAAGCTGTCCTGGCCGAGGCAAGATGGCGAAGCTCCTGAACCCAGAAGAAATGACCTCGAGGGATTATTACTTCGATTCGTATGCTCACTTTGGAATCCATGAGGTAATCGGTCCCGGAGACTGAGTGTTTGAGGAACAAAGCCCAGAACGGTGTGACTGAAGCTGAAACAACTTTTTCAGCCAAGTCCCTGGAATCCATCTGGAGCCATCTGAGTTTTATAATAATAATAAAGTTGGAAGGGACCTTGGAGGTCATCTAGTCCAACCCCCTACTCAGGCAGGAAACCCTAAACCAGTGGTTCTCAACCTTTCTAATGCCATGACCCCATAATACAGTTCCCCTTGTTGTGGTGACTCCCAACCACTTACACATCACCGGGTGCCAGGGGCGTGGCCAAAGAAAAGGGGGAAAAAATGGCGGACAGCCTTGTTTGGCGACCCCTGTGAAATGGTTGTTCGACCCCAAATGGGGTCCTGACCCACAGGTTGAGAACCACTGCCCTAAACCATTTCAGACAAATGGCTGTCCAGTCTTTTCTCAGTGTAAAGACAAGCAAGATTTTACACGTAGGCAAGGAAAACCAACTTCACGGGTATAGAACAGGTGGTACCTGGTACCGATAGTAGTAACTGTGAGAGGGATCAATCCATCAGACTAGAGCTGGAAGGGATCTTGGAGGTCTTCCAGTCCAGCCCCCCGCTGAAGCAGGAGATCCCATGCCATTTGAGACAAGTAGCTGTCCAGTCTCTTCTTAAAAACTTCCAGTGATGGAGCACCCACCACGTCTACATTTTTTATACCTTTTACAGAATAACAGAGTAACAGAGGTGGAAAGGCGTGGAGGTCATCTAGTCCAACCCCTTGCTCAGGCAGAAGACCCTATACCATTGCAGACAAGTGGCTGCCCAGTCTCTTCTTAAAGACTTCCAGTGATGGAGCACCCACAACTTTTGGAGGGAAGCCATTCCACTGATTAATTCTCTTCACTGTTAGGAAGTGTCTCCTTAGTTCCAGGTTGCTTCTCTCCTTGATTAGTTTCCATCCATTGTTTATAAAATCCGGGGAACTAACAACCACTTGAATTCTGGTCCCAGTTATGATTGTAAACAGAGGACTCTCTGTGATAGAACCTGCCTCTCATCAGCTTTTCCAGGAAGGTTTGTATTACCATACTGGTAAATTCTCTTTGGAATCGCTGAGTAGATTGTAGACTTGGCCTCGTCCCCTAAACCTCTCAGTAGTGGGAAATCTGCCTTCCAAAAGTGCTTTTCTCTCTCTCCCTATTTGTGTATAATTTGGTCCCGCTGGAATCTCTTTCTGGCAAAGAGTTGAGCTGTCTTTCCATCGCAGAATCCAGCTGAAGTCTGAAGCTCCTGTAATCTTTGTTTTTCTGCTGAAACTCTTGATCTGTTGTTGAGTCAATGTTTAGTCACTGCATTCTCCCGAGTTAGCCAGTTGTGTTAAAACAAGTCTTGGCAGTATAATTATCGCTACCTGCGCCCTAGGTTGCTTCTCAGAAGCAAATGCAGAACAAAAATCTGAACGCTTTGTTTTTTTTACTCCAACCGTGTTTTTGACTTTGGATCTACCCATTTTTACCCTGGCAATCAGTGGAGGATGCAGAAAAGCTTCTGGTCTGGCAGCAGTGGAGATAAAATGTGATTCTTTCTTATTCTCCTGCACAAATAAATGCAGAAGCTTCTTTGCCAAACCTGTCCTCGGGCTTGCTGTTGTGTAGATGAGATTCCCCACGGGACGTCATCTGAAAAGAAGATTCTGAGACGCGTTTTGAAGAAACAAACAAATCGCAGCCGCGTTTTTGCAGAATCAATATAGGTCACCGCCCGCAAGCAGCCCGAGATAGGGAACAAGGAGGACAGGCTTCACAAATTCACAATAGCTGTCTGGAACGAGCTGCTGTCAACCTGTGATTTTTCCACCGGCTTTTATGGGGCTCTAAGTTTCTTTCCGAACACAAGTTCCAAAGATGCTTTCCCCTCCCCAAAAAGTCTGTGGAGATTCTCAATCCTTCAGCTCATGTTGTTAGTTGCGAAGTCATGTCCGATCCATCGTGACCCCATGGACCACGTTCCTCCAAGCCTTCCTGTCCTCTGCCATCTTCTGGAGTCCATTGAAGCTCACGCCTGCTGCTTCAGGGACTCCATCCAGCCCCCTCATTCTCTGTCGTCCCCTTCTTCTCTTGTCCTCCATCTTTCCCAGCATCAGGCTCTTCTCCAGGGAGTCCTTCCTTCTCATTAGGTGGCCAAAGTACTTGAGTTTCAGCTTCAGGATCTGGCCTTCTAAAGAGCAGTCGGGGTTGATCTCCAGGACTGACCGGTTGGATCGCCTTGCAGTCCAGGGGACTCGCAGGCGTCTTCTCCAGCCCCAGAGTTCAAAGGCCTCCATTCTTTGGCGCTCAGCCTTTCTGATGGTCCAACTTTCACAGCCATACATTGCAACTGTCATAGTTATCCCAAAAGATGTTTTTTCAGGAGGCAACTGGACTTCCTTTGCTTTTCTTTGAAGATGTTTTGCTTCTCATCCAAGGAGCTTCCTCAGCATCCACCATCCAGCCAGACCTCAGCATTCCCCCACCATCCAGTCAGAGCGGAAGAAGCTTCTGGGATGAGAAGCGAAACATCTTCAGAGAAAAAACAGGAAGTCCAGTTGCTTCCTGAAAAAAGCATCTCTGGGATGCTTTTTTTTCCCCAAAAGACAATTAGACTTTCCTGATATTTTTCCTTTTCCTTTGAAAATATTTTGCTTCTCATCCAGGAAACTTCTTCAGTTCCAACTGACTGCTGGAGAAGGGAAGGATTTATAGGTGCTTTTTTTTCTTCAAAACCCAACTGGACTTTCTCTGTTTTTGCTTGAAGACCTTTCGCTTCTCATCCAAGAAGCTTCTTCGGTTCTGAAGAAGCTTCGGTTCCAGAACTGAAGAAGCTTCTTGGATGAGAAGGGAAATGTCTTCAAGGAAAAAACAAGAAAGTGCAGTTGCCTCTTGAAAAAGCACTTTTGGGACAACCAGGACTTGGATGACTTGAGAATCTCCATAGACATTTATTTTGGCCAGGTGTAGTTAGACACACAAGGAATTTGTCTCTGGTACAAAAGCTTTCAGTCTACAACGGAAATAATAATAATAATAATAATAATAATAATAATAATAATAATATAATGATGATGATGATGATGATGATTTTGTGTGCAAACAGTAGAAGATAGAAACAGTAGGTAATAAAAGAATAAATAATAATACAGCCACACTCTATGGGTTAATATACAAACACATTAGACAGAAGTTAGTATATTCCTTGTGGTCATCCAGTTGTTAGCACTCATTAGCAGAATAATAATAATAACAATAACAATAATAATAATAATAATAATAATAATACATTTGGATAGTGGATGTGGCAGTGCCTGGAGATAGCAGAATAGATGAGAAAGAACTGGAGAAGATAACAAAATACAAAGACCTACAAATAGAAATAGAAAGACTGGGGCAAAAGCAAGCAAGGGTAGGACCAATAGTCATAGGCTCCTTGGGTGCAATCGCAAAACAACTGGAGCACCACTTGGACACCATCATCGGCATTGACAAATTCGCTATTAGTCAATTGCAAAAGGCGGCCTTGCTAGGAACCATTTCCATCCTGCGACGAGATCTGTAATACCATCAAACGTCCACATCTGCCTATCCCAGGTCCTGGGTAAGGACTCGATAGATAGACAAAAATGCCAAATCCAGTCTGAACATCTGGCTGACTGCGATGATCCTTAATCATCATCATCATCATCATCATCATCATCATCATCATCATCATCATCATCTCTTCTTAAAAACTTCCAGTGTTGGAGCATTCACCACTTCTGGAGGCAGGTTGTTCCACTGGTTAATTGTTCTAACAGTCAGGAAGTTTCTCCTTAGTTCTAGTTTGCTTCTCTCCTTGATGAGTTTCCATCTGTTGCTTCTTCTCCTGCCTTCAGGCTCTTTGGAGAATAGCTTGACTCCCTCTTCTTTCCATTCTCCGCCAGTCAGAACCGGAAAAAGCTTCTTGAATGAAGAGTGAATTGTTTTCAAAGGGAAAAAAACAAGAAAGTCCCATTGCCTTTTGGAAAAAAGCGCTTTTGGGACCATCATGCCCTGGAGGAGTGAGAATCAGACAAGTGCCTGGAGGCTGTGGCAGGAACGTTCAGCTTTAAAAAAATAAATTCCCTTGTCTGGGTTGTTGCTGAGAATTCAGTGCACCTTCCTTGAACGCTGCAGAGGAAAGCTACCCTGCAAATCCAGCGCATAAAGAAGTTAATTTAAAATACTTTGGGGACATCGACACACTTCTCTCTAAATTCTCATTAATAGCCAGAACTTGAAGGAAGAAAAAAAATAGATGGCATTTCAGTTAGAGTTTGAATGGGCAACCCTGAAGGGTAAGGGAGACATTTATTGTCAGTTGCGAGAAAAATGAAAACTAACAAGATGTGGGCTCATGGTTAATGAAAAAGAATCGAACTGGCTGAATGCAACCTTCACACACAATAGGTGACATCAGGTTTTAGTGTTGTGTCTCTTTCATCCCCGAGGCAAGGGGGCCCTCCTGGCCTTTACCAAGGTCCTGACTTCTTTTATAAATGGGCAGGAAAGGTCTGTCGGAGATCTTGGAAGTAAAATGGCAGTTAGAATAAGATGGAGTCAGTGTAAGAGAGGTGGACTAAGCACGAGGCTTTTTCACCTGAGATGATGTTGCCTACACTTGGCTTATTCCTGGGGTCTTCAAACTTGGCCCTTTTATGACTGGTGGACTTCAGCTCCCAGAATCCCTCAGCCAGCGTGCACGTCCATAAGTCATAAAAAGGCCAAGTTTGAAGACCCTTGGCTTATTCTTTAAGGCAGGGCATCTCCAACCGTGACAACTTTAAGACTTGTGGACTTCAAGTCCCAGAATTCCATAGCCAGCCATGTTGGCTGGGGAATTCTGGGAATTGAAGTCCACCATTCTTAAAGTTGCCAAGTTTGCAGACACCCCTCCCCACTCCAAAGCACCAGAGGGCAGAACAAAAAGAATAGAATAGAATAGAATAGAATAGAATAGAATAGAACAGAATAGAATAGAAATATAGAACAGAATAGAAATACAGAATAGAATAGAAATATAGAATAGAATAGAATAGAATAGAATAGAAAATATGGAATAGAATAGAATAGAAATATAGAACAGAATAGAAATACAGAATAGAAAAGAACAGAAATACAGAATAGAATAGAAATATAGAATAGAATAGAACAGAATAGAATAGAAATATAGAACAGAATAGAAATACAGAATAGAATAGAAATATAGAATAGAATAGAAATACAGAATAGAAAAGAAATACAGAATAGAAAAGAAATACAGAATAGAATAGAAATATAGAACAGAATAGAATAGAATAGAATAGAATAGAAAATATGGAATAGAATAGAATAGAAATATAGAATAGAATAGAAATACAGAATAGAAAAGAAATACAGAATAGAATAGAAATTAATAGAATAGAACAGAATAGAATAGAAATATAGAACAGAATAGAAATACAGAATAGAATAGAAATATAGAATAGAATAGAATAGAAAATATGGAATAGAATAGAATAGAAATATACAACAGAATAGAAATACAGAATAGAAAAGAACAGAAATACAGAATAGAATAGAAATATAGAATAGAATAGAACAGAATAGAATAGAAATATAGAACAGAATAGAAATACAGAATAGAAAAGAACAGAAATACAGAATAGAATAGAAATATAGAATAGAATAGAATAGAACAGAACAGAATAGAAATATAGAACAGAATAGAAATATAGAATAGAATAGAATAGAATAGAATATAGGAATGAAGAATAGAATAGAATAGAATAGAATAGAATAGAATAGAATAGAATAGGAGGAATGAAAAATAGAATAGAATAGAATAGAATAGAATAGAATAGAATAGGATCTTGGAGGTCTTCTAATCCAGCCCCCTGCTCACAAAAGGGGATCCTGTGACCCTGGGACACTGCAACCCGTCGTAAGTGTGAGTCAGTTGTCAAGCATCTGAATTTTGAGCACATGACCCTGGGGATACTGCCACGGTCCTAAGTGTGGAAAAACAAACAAACAATCCCCCTTTTTCAAGTGCCGTTGTAACTTCTAACAGTCACTCAACAAACGATGGCAAGTCAGGGACCACCGTGGAATTAGTGCCAGCGGAACCCTCTAAATTTGGAGCGGCAAGCAGTAATGGGATCGATGACCTGAAGGCAACTTTTTATTTATTAAAGCAGAGGTCCCCCAACCTTTTGGGGCACCAAGGACTGGTTCAGTGGAGAGAGGTTTTCCTGCGGACCGGAGGGTGTGTGGTTTTGTGTGCTGCCTGCATCCCACGGATGGGGCCTGGCTTGTTCGTGCGGACCGGTTGCTGGCGTGCTGTGGCCCGTTACCGGTCCACGAACTGGGGGTTGGGGACCCCCTGTATTAAGGCGTATTAGCTCAATTCAGAGGCTGGGCATTCAGCCAGAGAATAGAGTCTGTGCTACAAACTAATTAGAGTCCTAATCCTCTAGATATTCAGGATTTTCAAGCCAGATCTCGGTTACGGTTTTGCTTCTCGGGGACATAGTGGATGCAACAGGAGAAAAGGAAATTGTGCTTTGAAGCCTGATCTCACTGATGAAGGTATTTGCGTCGCCATGGTAGAGAAATCCACGGCGTTTCCTCGGCGTTTGCAACCACCTTTCAGACTGGAGAGGATTCGAAACCATGTGGGTTCCTTTTTTCCTCTGACGGGACGGGGTCTTTTATTTTTTTTTTTTTTAAACCCAGGAAATGCTGAAGGACGAGGTGCGCACCTTAACCTACCGAAATTCCATGTATCACAATAAGCACGTCTTCAAGGAGAAGGTGGTGCTGGACGTGGGAAGCGGCACCGGCATCCTTTCCATGTTCGCTGCCAAGGCGGGAGCCAAGAAAGTCTACGGGGTAAGGAGAGGCGATGGCAGCTGTGGTTTCCTGTGGGCAGAAGGCCGGGCCTTTCCCACTTGCTTTCCCAGGCTGCGCTCCCAACCATCGGGCACTGGGGAGGTCGTCTAGAAGGGTCCTAAGCTGGGGGGGGGGGTAAGTCCTTTGCTGCCTGGTCTTTCTTTCTTTCTTTCTTTCTTTCTTTCTTTCTTTCTTTCTTTCTTTCTTTCTTTCTTTCTTTCTCTCTCTCTCTCTCTTTCTTCCTTTCTTTCTTCTTCCCTCCCTCCCTCCCTTCCTATTTCTTCTTCCTTCCTTCCTTCCTCCCTCCCTCCCTTCCTTTCTTCCTCCCTCTCTATTTCTCCCTTCCTCCCTTTTTGTCCCTCCCTCCCCATATCTCCTTCCTTCCTTCCTCTCTCCCTTCTTCCTTCCTTTCTTCCTCTCCCTTCTTCCTTCTTTCCTTCCTCTCTCCCTTCTCCCTCCCTTTCTTCCTCCCTCCCTATTTCTCCTCCCTCCCTTCCTTTTTGTCCCTCCCTCCCCATGTCTCCTTCCTTCCTGCCTGCCTTAACCCTCTTCCTGCCTGCCAGACCCTCCATGCTGGGCTGCCTCTGGGCCCTCTGAGAAGCAGCCCCTCCCTCCTGGGAGTCTGGACATGCTTCTGTCACACGGAGTCCATAATCACAAAAAATGAATCATGTACGTTTATTTACCGGAAGGTTGCAAAGTCTCATTGGAAACCAGAGAGGGGGGTTCCCTTCTGACCTTTAGCAAGAGGAGGGGGGGGCGTGCCCTGTGATGATTAACCTCTCTCTCTCTCTAAACTTCTTAATTTGTTAGTAAGGATTGACATGCTAGATTGTAATCTGGGACTGTTAGCCCGGAGCGTTTTCTGAATTCATGTCTTTTGGGGGAACACGGCAGAGCTGGTGATGGTAGGGTGCAAAGAACACTTTTCGGATGCTAGAGTCGCCGGTCAAGAATGGACAAGGCCGGTGTGTGTGTGTGTGTGTGTGTGTGTGTGTGTGTGTGTGTGTCTCCAAACTTGGTCACTTTTAAAACTGGTGGACTTCAACTCCCAGAATTCATCAGCCATCAAAGAGCTGAGGTGGCGCAGCAGTTAGAGTGCAGTATGGCAGGCCACTTTAGCTGACTGTGTTCAGCAGGTCAGCAGTTCAAATCTCACCGACTCAAGGTTGACTCAGCCTTCCATCCTTCCGGGGTAGGTAAAATGAGGACCCAGATTATTGGGGGCAATGTAAATATATATATATATACATTGCTTACTGGTGTACACCGCTTAGAGAGTGCTTGCACTTAAAGCGGTATATAAGTCTCATAAATAAATAAATAAATAGCTGGCTGGAGAATTCTGGGAATTGAAGTCCACCCGTCTCAAAGTTGGCCATGGCTGAGATTACAGTTGGATGACAGTAACTGGAACGCTCCCGTGTATTTCTGTCCATATCAGTTGCCAGGCTTTCTTTGAATTCATTCTGGGGTGTCCAAACTCAACACCTCCAAAGACTTCAACTCCTAGAATGCTGGCTGAGGAATTCTGGGAGTTGGAAGTCTCACAAGGCTTAAAAGTTGTCAAGCTTGGAGACCCCTGCACTAGACAGCGACATGAGATGGGAAAGCCGTCCGGGAATTTTGGGTGGCTAGAACGGACTCTCTGGAATAAGCTTATGATTTCTGCCTATTCAATTTGATTCCTCTGAAATGCATAGTTTTGAGTTTCCTTTATTTCTCCTCTCTCTCTTCTGCAGATTGAATGTTCCAGTATATCCGACTACTCTGAAAAAATCATCAAGTCCAATCACTTGGATCAGAGTAAGACTTTTCCGATGAAGATCAGTTACATCTGTCACTTCCGTTTTCCCTTATGTTCAGTTTCTCCATTGATGCTTGGCAGATGGGTTTTACAGCACTGATGACGTAAAGACTTACATTTTTTACATCGTTCCAAATGTTAAATTGACAAATGTTAAATTAGATTATCTCTCTTTCTTTTCCTTATGGAAGTAAATTCAGTAAAAGTGACTTAATTATTAAAGTGATCTGCCCTTTATTAGATGGAGGTGGTCTAGAGGTAGACAACATTCATAAATAAATGACTGATTGTGAAATATTAGTTTGTGACAGAATTCATTCTGTCTGAACTCCTGCCATTTGTCAGGACTAGTGATGTAAAAAACAAACAAACCACAAATTCAGTACTGAATATTATTTTAAAATAATGCTTAATCCCTCCGTCTAATTCATCTTATAATAATTTTCAACAGCATTATAATGCCTTAGAGACGTTTAGGGTCTCCTGGATTCAAAGCCATTGAGCGTGTGCACGTGTGTTTGCATCTTTATAGGAAGTTATACTTCTTACTTGAACAGCTTATGACGGCTTACATGTGAACACGGTTTAAAAATAGAGCTACTGGTTGAATGACTAAATCTGTAGCTTTCATGCTGCATCTTAAGTTTGTCAGAGAACCAAACTGATTGATTCATTGATTGAATGAATGAATAGTGTTGAAGGATTACTTCCGGTAATTTGGAAATTATAAGGCAAGCATAAAATTGCCTATTTTTTCCAACTGTATCCCCCAGCTGGCTTACATACAGTTTATAATGAAACTCCAGTTCTTTTTTGCAAGTACAGCTACCAAACTAAGTATCTTCTGTCATATACCCGCACATTTGAATTTAGATTCCCAAGCAAAGACTTTCACCTTTATTTGTTAAATCCCATTCGATTACTCCCAGCCCATTTCTCTGTCCAATCCAGACCATTCTGAATTTTATTGAGCTTCTAGCACATTAGTTACCCTAATCCATCTTGAATCACCTTCCAATTTGATAATGCATTCCTTCCAACTCTTGGTTCAAAATAGGTCCACCTAAAGGACGGATTCCTAGAGTATCCTACTTGATTTTTTTTTTGGTTCTTTTTACAACCCTGTAATCCCTTTTTATCCGGGTGGAATCGGGGCGACTGAATGCAGCTGAGCATTTACTGGCTGGATGCCCTTCCTGGCGCCTATGCCAAGTTCACAGCAGATGTTTTTTCCTTGCTCCCTGATAGAGTAACATTTGTCGGTGTCTAGGATTGAAATTTCGATCTTCCAAGCGTCTTCACCCCCAGCCTAGACCACCGTACCACTCAACTACAGTTGAGAATTTTTTCAATAGAATCATACATACATACATGCATACATACTCATCAAGCCCACCTTTATCCACTGGCCAATCAGTAGGCCTGGGGTATTTCAAGAAATCCTTTGCTAAAGTCAAGATATAATATGTATCATAGCATTCCCACTATCTATTACAGAAGCTACCAGTTCCACAGATAAGTTAACTGCTTAGAGTCAATTGAACATAGCAGGATATAAATGCTTCATAAATAAATACACGATCTGGCAAATCGATTCTCGACAGCTCCACATCAATGGCTAGTAATTGTTTTCAAAGTCCATACCTTCATGATCCGCTGAGGAATCTTCCCAGGAATCGATGTTTAGCCTGACAGGTCTGGTAGCTTGCTGGATCTTCCCTTTTCTCCTCTTTTTGAAAACAGGTCCTCCATTTGCTCTCCTCCAGTGATCTGGCATTTCATTTTGGCAGGACTTCTCCAAGATAATCCGTCAGAATTTGGTCCGGCTATTAGCTGCTTCCTTCAGTCCCCTAGGATGACATTCATCTGATTCTGAAGATTTAATAATCATCGGAATAAAGAGGTGTTCCTGCATTGTGTATCTGTCAATCTCAAGGCTCAATCCTATCGCTCCATCCCGCTCTTTGGTTTCCTAGTGGAAAACACGTAGATTTTGTTGGAAAAATAGGAGTTGAGTAGCTCTTTCTTGCTTAATGTAGCATTTTGCCTTCTTCACCGAGCAGCTGGTACATTTAGTCTTTTTTCCCTTTATTTTGATCATATCTAAATAAGTCTCTCTCCTCCCTCCCTCTCTCCCTCTCTGTCACCCTCTCTCCCTCCCTCCTGCCCTCCCTCTCTCCCTCTCAGTCTCCCTCTTCCTCTCTCTCCCTGTCTCACTCCCTTTCTCCCTCCCTCTCTCCCTCTCCCCCTCCCTCCTGCCCTCCCTCTCCCTGTCCCTCTCCCTGTCTCCCTGTCTCCCTCTCTGTCTCCAACTCTCCCTCCCTCCTGCTCTCCCTCTCTCCCTCTCAGTCTCCCTCTTCCTCCCTCTCCGTCCACCTCCCTCTCTCCCTCCCTCTCTCCCTCTCCCCCTCCCTCCTGCCCTCCCTCTCTCTCTCCCTCTCTCTCGCTGTCCTTCTCCCTGTCTCCCTTTCTGTCTCTCTCCCTGTCCCCCTCCCTCTCTCCTCCCTCTCTCCCTCTCTCCCTCCCTCCTGCCCTCCCTCTCTCCCTCTCAGTCTCCCTCTTCCTCCCTCTCCGTCCACCTCCCTCTCTCCCTCCCTCTCTTCCTCTCCCCTCCCTCCTGCCCTCCCTCTCTCCCTCTCCCTCTCTCTCCCTGTCCTTCTCCCTGTCTCCCTTTCTGTCTCTCACCCTGTCCCCCTCCCTCTCTCCTCTCTCTCCCTCTCTCCTCCCTCCTGCCCTCCCTCTCTCTCTCCCTCTCTCTCGCTGTCCTTCTCCCTGTCTCCCTTTCTGTCTCTCTCCCTGTCCCCCTCCCTCTCTCCCTCCCTCTCTCCCTCTCTCCCTCCCTCCTGCCCTCCCTCTCTCCCTCTCAGTCTCCCTCTTCCTCCCTCTCCGTCCACCTCCCTCTCTCCCTCCCTCTCTCCCTCTCCCCCTCCCTCCTGCCCTCCCTCTCTCCCTCTCCCTCTCTCTCCCTGTCCCTGTCCCTATCTCCCTCCCTCCCTCTCTCTCTCCCTCTCCTTCTCCTTCTCCCTCTCTCTCCCTGTCCCTCTCCCTGTCTCCCTTCCTGTCCCTATCTCCCTCCCTCCCTCCCTCTCTCTCTCTCTCTCTCTCTCTCTCTCTCTCTCTCTCTCTCTCTCTCTCTCTCTCTCTCTCTCTCTCTCTCTCTCTCTCTCTCTCTCTCTTCTCAGCATCCTTTGCTGACCTCAGCACTTTCTGAGTTTCCCTCTCCTGATACCATTTCTACAATTCTGGTCTACATCTCTGCACATTTTCCTTTCCGACCCGGTCTTGTTTCCATTTCATACATGTGTCTGTTTTTTGTTTTGTTTTGTTTTAATGATCGGATTCTCCCCCAGCTTTTAGTCTAGCTGCATCTGTCCCTTTTGCTGTCCTTCAATTCTCTTTTTTCTTCTCATGATTTTTTTTTTTTTTTACTTATTTCCACTGTGCTTCTTTCTTAAAGGTCCTTTAAAAAAAAAAATCGCACCCATCTTGGACTCTATTTTTTTTTCTACTACCTTCTTTCCTGGATCTTCCTCACTGGGTGTCTGAGCTGATTAAAATCTACTTAAATGCTATTTCCTTTGGTGCTGCCTGCTGCAAAGGCTGTGGCGCTTTTCTACAGTCTATTATCTCCCCGACAATTTAAAAACTGCCATGCTGATGGGTGTCAGGAGATCACCATCCAAGGGTAAATGGCTGCCAGCATGATTTCATCCACCAAAACCTTCTGTATCACCTTGAGAAGTTCACATCCCTTGCTGATAATCATTGCCATTAAGACGGTGTACCGTTGCTTAAAAATTCTCCACCTAATCAAAAAAAAAAAAAAAAACCCGAATCCCATGGAGACAGTGAAATGAAATGATTTTTCTCTTCTTACTCATTGCTCCACTCCTGTTAATAAGAGAGATAAGCCTCCAGATATATTATTGTATTGCAAATGGAGGGTTTTTTTTTTTTTTTTTGGTCTTACTCAAGACGGAGAATGGAATAAGGTAGAAAACAGCCACCTTGCACTAATCGTAGGAAGCGTAATCCAGGGAATTTCTTATTTCTGCTAAGATTTAGTTTACAGGGAAATCTGAAAAGGTTTAAAATAATAACCGTGTGTTCGTGTAGTAGTAATAGTAGTAAAGTTGGAAGGGACCTTGGAGGTCATCTAGTCCAACCCCCTGCTCAGGCAGGAAACCCTACACCATTTCGGACAAATGGCTGTCCAGTCTCTTTTTAAAAACCTCCAGTGTTGGAGCATTTACTGCTTCTGGAGGCAGGCTGTTCCACTGATTAATTGTTCTCACTGTCAGGAAATTTCTCCTTAGTTCTAGGTTGCTTCTCTCCTTGATTAGTTTCCACCCGTTGGTTCTTGTCCTGCCTTCTGGTGCTTTGGAGAATAGCTTGATTCCCTCTTCTTTATGGCAGCCCCTGAGATAATGGAAGACTGCTATCATGTCCCCCCTTGTCCTTCTCTTCGTTAAACTAGACATACCCAATTCTAGCAACCGTTCCTTATATGTAATCACAGCTGATTTGAATTCCCCCATTGACATAATGATAACAACAACAACAATAATAATAACAATAATAATCAGTGCCTGGAGACAGCAGAATAGATGAGAAAGAACTGGAGAAGATAACAAAATACAAAGACCTACAAATAGAAATAGAAAGACTATGGCAAAAGCAAGCAAGGGTAGTACCAATAGTCATAGGCGCCTTGGGTGCAATCCCAAAACATCTGGAGCACCACCTGAACACCATCATCGGCATTGACAAATTCGCCATTAGTCAATTCCAGCCCAAAATCCAGATGGGGCCTCCAGGTCGAAAGGAAAGTACTTAAGTACGTTCTTTCCTTTCATCAAAATCTGCCAACTCCGTGTAACGTTCTGTGTCTTGATTCTGTTCCCAGTCATCACCATATTCAAGGGCAAAGTGGAAGAAATTGAGCTGCCGGTGGACCAAGTCGATATCATAATCAGTGAGTGGATGGGCTACTCGCTTTTCTACGAGTCCATGCTGAACACGGTCATCTTCGCTCGGGACAAGTGGCTGGTAGGCTTCCGGTGTCTTAGCTTCTCGAAGGTCGTTTGAAGGCTGGTTCTGGAGTGACACATGTCACGTGGTTTCAGGGGCATCCAAACTAAGAATGCAGAGGATATTGGCTACTTAGTGTGCTTGTTAAAATGTATGTATACCGCCTTTCCATAATCATCGCTACACGACGTATCAGCTCTACAGTATTTTGTTTGTAAAACAATAGTGCTAGCACTGATGGTGTTACCCAGTTGGGTAATGAAACGTCTGCGAGAAAGCAACCCAACTCAGAGAGCATCAAGGACCCCCACAGTTCTCCTCCTCTCTCCCCCTGCCCCTCTTTCCTCCCCTCCCCCTCTTCCTCCTCTTCCTCTTCCTCCTCCGTTCTGCAAACCTCCCTCCCGCGTAGCACTGATGTTGTTACCTAGTTGGGTAATGAAATGTCTGCAAGAAAACTTAGAGAGCACCAAGGACACCAAAGTCATTCTCCTCCTCCTCCTCCTCCCCTTCCCCTTCCTCTTCCCCTTCCCCTTCTTCTTCTCCTTCTCCTTCTTCCTCCTCCTCCTCCTCCTCTTCCTCCTCCTCCTCCTCCTCTCCTCCTCCTCCTCCTCCTCCTCCTCCTCCTCCTCCTCCTCCTCCTCTTCTTCTTCTTCTTCTTCTTCTTCTTCTTCTTCTTCTTCTTCTTCTTCTTCTTCTTCTTCTTCTTCTTCTTCTTCTTCTTCTTCTTCTTCACTATTATTGTTATTATTGTTTGTTGTTGTTATTGTTATTGTTATTATTATTGAGGTGGTCTTCATTGTCTTTCTCCAGTCAGCGTCTGGTTTGGTTTTGGTCTAATTTGTGCTCTGCTCCATTTCCATGACCCTAGACCAGGATTGGGGGAAATATGGCCCTTTCATGACTTGGGGACTTCAAATCCCAGAACCCCACGCTGGCTCAGGAATGCTGGGAGCTAAAGTCCACAAATTGTGAAGGGGGGCATCATTCCCCACCTCTAACCTAGACCAAACCAAAGATCTATCCACTCTTGACGGTCACCCTTCCGAGCCCTTTTGAGCTGTGAAGTGACCAAAAAAGAGGAAAGGATGCTTGTGTGTGTGTGTGGGGGGGGGAGGGTTATCCTTGTCGTTTTTTTTTATATATACGCCTTCAAAAATGTGACGTTTTTGTTAAGCGAATAGATTAAGACATCCATTTGCACTACAATTCGTCCACAGAAATCTGGTGGGCTTATGTTTCCTGACCGTGCGGCTTTATACATGGTGGCCATTGAAGATCGCCAGTACAAGGACTTCAAAATCCACTGTGAGTCCGCAGACGACTTACTTGGCTCTGCTTTTCCCCTGATGTTTTCTAGCCAACTTGTTACAGGTAGTCCCTCTTTGCCCTGACAGGGTGGGAGAACGTCTACGGCTTCGACATGACCTGCATCCGGGACGTCGCCATGAAGGAGCCGTTGGTGGACATTGTTGACCCAAAGCAAGTGGTGACCAATGCTTGTTTAATAAAGGTTTGGGTGCTTTTCAAAATATAAACTTTAACGCAAGAGCTTGCTACAAGGCTGTTGTATTTTTTTATTTTTAAAAACACAGGTCCTTCTTTTGTCTTTTGCACGTTGCTGCTAAATGGTGGATGCTGATTTTTCACCTTCATTTGCGCTTCTGTAACTGTCTGGTTTGGCACAGCCACTGAAACAGGACAGGTTCTTCAACGGATAGTTAGGACTGCAGAAAAAACAATCGCAACCAGCCTGCCTTCCACCGAGGACCTGCACATTGCACAAACCAGAAAGAGGACAGAGAAAATATCTACAGACTCCACGTATCCTAGGCATAAATTGTTTCATCTTCTCTCTTTGAGACGCTGCTATAGGGCATTGCATGCCAAATCAACTAGACACCGAGACAGTTTTTTCGCTTGGGCCGTCACTCTGCTGAACACCTAATTCCCACAGCACTGTCTGATGCTTAAGGATACCTAATCAAGTAGTAGGACTGTAATAGTGTATCCTTCCCATCTTTCCTACTTCTTTCTACTACTGATATCTTATGATTTATCAGTTTGTTGTTTGTACCTTGTTGTTTGTTGTTTGCATCCTATGATTTAGGATTTATCACTTTGCTGTTTGTATGTACACTGAGAGCTTCTGCCCCGGAGACAAATTCCTTGTGTGTCCAATCACACTTGGCCAATAAAGAACATTCTATTCTATTCTATTCTATTCTATTCTATTCTATTCTATTCTATTCTATTCTATTCTATTCTATTCTATTCTATATTCTATTCTATTCTATTCTATTCTATTCTATTCTATTCTATTCTATTCTATATTCTATTCTATTCTATTCTATTCTATTCTATTCTATTCTATTCTATTCTATTCTATTCTATTCTATTCTATTCTATTCTATTCTAGTCTAGTCTAGTCTAGTCTAGTCCTAGTCTATTCTATTCTTCATCCATTATTCTATTCTATTCTATTCTATTCTATTCTATTCTATTCTATTCTATTCTATTCCTTATTCTATTCTATTCTATTCTATTCTATTCTATTCTATTCTATTCTATCTATTCTATTCTATCTATTCTATTCTATTCTATTCTATTCTATTCTATTCTATTCTATTCTATTCTATTCTATTCTATTCTATTCTATTCTATTCTATTCTATTCTATTCTATTCTATTCTATTCTATTCTATTCTATTCTATTCTATTCTATTCTATTCTATTCTATTCTATTCTATTCTATTCTATTCTTCATTCCATTATTCTATTCTATTCTATTCTATTCTATTCTATTCTATTCAATTCTATTCTATTCTATTCTATTCTATTCTAGTCCAGCCCCTTGCTTAGACAGGAAACTCTATACCATTTCAGACAAGTGACTGTCCAGTGATGGAGCACACAAAATGTCTGAAGGCAAGCTATTCCACTGGTTGATTGTTCTCACTATCAGGAAATTTCTCTTTAGTTCTGAGTTGCTTCTCTCTTTGATGAGTTTCCATCCATTGATTCTTGTCCTGCCTTCAGGCCCTTTGGAGAATAGCTTGACTCCCTCTTCTTTGGGGCAGCCCCTGAGATACTGGAAGACTGCTCTCATGTCCCCCCTCGTCCTTTTCTTCATTTAACTGGACATACCCAATTCTAGCAACCGTTCGTTATATGTTTTAGCCTCCAGTCCCCTAATCATCTTTGTTGCTCTTCTCTGTACTCTTTCTAGAGTCTCAACATCTTTTTTTACATTGTGGTGACCAAAACAGGATGCAATATTCCAAGTGTGGCCTTACCAAGGCCTCGTAAAAGGTATATGCTGCCTAGCACATTTAGGAAACCCAAAACACCATAGAGATATAAGACTTATGGGTGGCAACTTTTTAAGGCTTATAAGTCCTTGAGGCAAAATGTGCATTGTGGTTCTTGGGTACAAGGACTTCTAATCTGAATAGGAAGAGAAAACAATTCCTTAATTTTTGATTACGAAAGCTGCCTTTGGAACGCTTCCCGTTGAAAGCCGGCTGTTCCCATTTAGTCCCACCTCCAAGAAACCTAACATTGGCAGGCCAAGTTAACTAAATATTTAAGAAACAGAAATTTGCCAGCAGCGAAAAGAAAAAAGAGGAGGTGAGAACTGCAGCTGAGTGCTGGCAGCACTGTGGAAACACTATATGCTGTGCTGTAAAAATCCCCACCATGCAAAAAAAAAAAAAAAAGAAGGAATTCCAACAACGGTTAGATAACAGTTTTGAATGAATGAGGCTTGCGTGTCAGATTATTTAAGTTATTTCCCATAGTAAAGCTCAGCTAGAATTTGGATCAGCTGTAGAATGTTCTATTTTATATCCATAGCCTGTTGAGACAAAACCACAGCAAGAGTTGGATGGAGGAGAAAAAGGATCTATTTTAAAAGTTCAGGGTATTATGTATATGTTCAGCCATGAAGCACTGGAAGGCAAGGTAAACTTAGCTTGGAGGGGTCTTTGGTATTCTCTGAGCTTGCTTTATATTCACTTTGAGAATCTTCTGTATTAAGATGTGAATCCTACTGGTGTTGACTGCTTTGTGACTCACCACATTACTCATTATGGGAAAAAAATTGTTTGATGCTCATTGTTTTATGGTGCTCACCAGGCCTCCCAGAAACAATGAACAATGAGTACCGAGGTACCCCTGTATCTAGTAGTTCCTGTTCTGATTCTTAAAACATTTTTTTATACTTAAGCATCTTCGGATTGGACTGTGCTGTTCTTCTACAGCCCATTTTAAATATTTGTTGAGACTCTATAAAGAGTGCAGCAAAGAGCCACAAAGATGATCAGGGGGCTGGAGGTTAAAACATATAAGGAATGGTTGCTGGAATTGGGTATGTCTAGTTTAATGAAGAGAAGGACCAGGGGGTGACATGATAGCAGGGTTTTAATATCTCAGGGGCTGCCCCAAAGAAGAGGGAGTCAAGCTATTCTCCAAAGCACCTGAAGGCGGGACAACGGATGGAAGCTAATTAAAGAGAGAAGCAACCTGGAACTAAGGAGAAACTTCCAAATTACCAGAAGTAATCCTTCAGCGCTTTTCATTCATTCAATCAATGAATCAATCAGTTTGGTTCTCTGACAAGCTTAAGATGCAACATAAAAGCTACAGATTTAAGTCATTCAACCAGCAGCTCTATTTTTAAACCGTGTTCACATGTAAGCCGTCATAAGCTGTTCAAGGAAGAAGTATAACTTTGTACAAAGATGCAAACACACGTGCACACGCTCAATGGCTTTGAATCCAGGAGACCCTAAACATCTCTAAGGCATTATAATGCTGTTGAAAACTATTATAAGATGAATTAGACGAAGGGATTAAGTGTTATTTTAAAATAATATGCAGTACTGAATTTGTTGTTGTTGTTTTTTTTTACATCATTAGTCCTGACAAATGGCCCGGGTTCAAACAGAATGAATTCTGTCACAACTAATGTTTCACAATCAGAGCAACCTAGAACTAAGGAGAAACTTCCTGACAATCAGAACAATTAACCAGTGGAACAACCTGCCTCCAGAAGCGGTGAATACCCCAACACTGGAAGTTTTTAAGAAGAGACCGGACAGACATTTGTCTGAAATGGTGTAGGGTTTCCTGCCTGAGCAGGGGGTTGGACTAGATGACCTCCAAGATCCCTTCCATCATCATATATTATATTATTATATTATATTATATTACATTACATTACATTACATTATATATATTATATATATTATATTATATTATTATATTATTATGTTATATTATTATATTGTTATGTTATGTTATATTAATTATATTATATTATATTATATTATTATATTATTATTGCAGGCTGAGAAATTGGGGGTGACTTAGTTAAAACACTTCTTCATCTCTCCGGTCAATGCAGGATGTGGATCTTTACACCGTAAAGCCAGAAGAACTGACCTTCACCTCTGCGTTTTGCCTCCAGATTCAACGCAACGACTACATCCATGCCTTGGTCACCTATTTTAATATAGAATTTACAAAGTGCCATAAGAAAATTGGGTTTTCTACAGGTAAATTATTTCCTCCCCCTTTTTTTTTTTTTTTACTTGTAAGAATGACCATTCCCCCCCCCCTCCCTTGCTTTAATTCATTTCTTGTAACCTAAATGTTCAGTTCTCTGGAACGCCAAAGGGAAATAAAATTTGCTGTGATGTCTCTTAAGTTTTAGCCTTGCCTTGCGGTAGGCATTTGAGTTATGGCCGATCACTCTGGGAGCTATAAACCAGCATTGTCTGTTGCTTTGAGAATGAAACGGGGCTGCTTGCTCTGATCTGGCATCTCACAAGGCTGGAAGAAATGAGGCTGTACAGTTGAAACCTAAAAGCGATGGTTTTATTCGTGTGAAAAAAGTGCTGCGTGTGTAGCTCCAGAATTATTATTTTAACCACATCGGGTTTTTTTTCACTTTTATTGCCCTGGGTGCTATCTGGGAGAAGGGATGGGGGTTCCCGTTAAAGACATTCTAACAACATGATAGTAGTCTTCCAGTATCTCAGGGGCTGCCCCAAAGAAGAAAGAGTCAAGCTATTCTCCAAAGCACCTGAAGGCAGGACAAGAAGCAACAGATGGGAACTAATCAAGGAGAGAAGCAAGTTAGAACTAAGGAGAAACTTCCTGACAGTGAGAACAATTAACCCGTGGAACAACCTGCCTCCAGAAGCGGTGAATGCTCCAACACTGGAAGTTTTTAAGGAGAGACTGGACAGCCATTTGTCTGAAATGGTGACTTTATTCTTAAATACACCACTGAACCGTTGCTTCATTCTTTTGTCTGCAGAAATAGATTGATAGGAATCAAGGAAGTATTTTGAGAACTTTGATTTCAGAGAGCGCAGGATTTATACGCAGGCAACAGATTCTGAACAGGGCTTGGGTCAAACCCATTAGGTGATCCTTATCAGCTGGCTGTTAAAATCTTGCAGTTGCAAAGCTTTGTACATTTCTGGGGAAGTCAAACCGGTGATCACCTGGTCAGGTAATCTGCAGGTAAACCAAGACAGTATCTAAAAGGAACCAAATATCTCTCTCTCTCTTTTTTTTTTTTTGTAGCTCCAGACGCGCCTTACACTCACTGGAAGCAGACAGTCTTCTACCTGGAAGATTATCTAACTGTCCGAAGAGGAGAAGAAATCTATGGATCCATATCCATGAAACCGAATGAAAAAAACGAGGTAAGTTAGGTTGGAAAAGAGGAATGTTGGCGTCCAGGTGGGGCAGCTGGTTTCAGGCCTGGGGTCTTACAGGCGTTTTGTCAAACAAGTTAGTGGATAAAATCACAGCCTGATCTTAAAGAATCACATTTGATAGCTACAAGCTTAGGAATGGATTGGTATCCTGCCTTTATAATTTTTTCTAAATTTAGCCAAGGGGGGCAAATATATCCAAGGCAACTTCCTACTCTTATTTTGCCCGCAATGGCAACATTGTGAGGTAAGTTGGGCTGAAAGAGAATGGCTGGCCCGAGATCACCCAGTTGGCTTTCATGGCTAAGGCAGGACTAGAACTCACCGTCTCCTGGTGATTGGCCCAAAGTCATCTAGTTGGCTTTCATGGCTAAGGTGGGACTAGAACTCACCGTCTCCTAGTGATTGGCCCAAAGTCACCCAGCTGGCTTTCATGGCTAAGGCAGGACTAGAACTCACAATCTCTGGGTGATTGGCCCAAAGTCATCCAGTTGGCTTTCATGGCTAAGGCAGGACTAGAACTCACCGTCTCCTGGTGATTGGCCCAAAGTCATCCAGTTGGCTTTCACGGCTAAGGCAGGACTAGAACTCACCATCTCCTAGTGATTGGGCCAAAGTCATCCAATTGGCTTTCATGCCTAAGGCGGGACTAGAACTCTCAGTCTCCTGGCGATTGGCCCAAAATCAACCAGTTGGCTTTCATGCCTAAGGTGGGACTAGAACTCTCAGTCTCCTGGTGATTGGCCCAAAATCAACCAGTTGGCTTTCATGCCTAAGGCGGGACTAGAACTCTCAGTCTCCTGGTGATTGGCCCAAAATCAGCCAGTTGGCTTTCATGGCTAAGGTGGGACTAGAACTCAATGTCTCCAGGTAATCAGTCCAAAGTCACCCAGCTGACTTTCATGGCTAAGGTGGGACTAGAATTCACAGTCTCCCACTTTGTAGGCGGATGCCTTAACCATTACATCAAACTGGCTGGGAGAAGTCTACAAAAGACTTTTTATGACCGATGAAGTCAACTGCAAGGAAACATCTGGGGGAATAACCTACCTTTATCTCTTAACCCCTGTATGTGGCATACACCTGTATTCCGAGATACAGCTAGTCTCATCATTTGGGAAACCTTTGGGTCTTTGGTTTGACTAGTTTGCTCCTCAACAAAGTAGGCTTGTAGTTAGTATTTAGTAATTAGCGCAGGGGTGTCAAACTGCCGGCCTGTGGGCCGGATACCTCACGCCAAAACCGTACCCACCCCATTGCTGGCAATGGGGAAAAAAGTCACGATACGTCGCGACATGTCACGTGACGTCGCAAGTTTGACACCCGTGCATTAGAATGTGTCTTTTCCGAACATCCTGTCTGAATCTTCACCACGTGACCTTGGGGACGTTGCAACACCCGTAAGTGGGAAAAACGGTCCTAACTCCCTTTTTCCAGTGGTGTTGTAACTTGGAACGGTCCCTAAACGAACGGTTGTTAAGTCGAGCACCTACCAAATATGCGCTATTAACCACCGGCTTCTCTTGTCCACAACTAGTAAGCAACAGGATCTGAATTCTACATTCTTTACAGCGCGATCTGGATTTTACAGTTGACTTGGATTTTAAAGGGCAGCTTTGCGAAGCCTCCGTGTCTAATGACTATAAGATGCGCTAACAACCTGCGGTCGGCGCAGCAACAAAAGAAGTGGTGTTCTGGGCCTGACGTCGTCGGAGTCTGTGAGGTTTTTTCACTAGCAAAACGGTCGCTCCTCGGAGGTTTTCTGGATCTGGAATCTGCTCATCTCCGCGCCCTGCCATGACCGAGCTTACCTGAAAGGACTGTATACGTATCACTCACTTGGCTACAGCCTGGTGTCGTGTCGAATTTGTAACCCAACACATTCAAGGGGGAACCAAATTGGGAGAACAGGCGCCCGCCTTGCTCGTTTTACGATGTCTTTATTTTTTCGTTTTCGTTTTTTGTTTCGTTAAAAAAAACCCCTGCATTTACAACTAATATTAACGTGTTATATTTTTGCAAGTTTTTTCATTGCTCTTTTATACAGCCTTCGGGTGCCACGTTCCCAAATTTGTCTTAGCAAACAGCCTTCTCTTCTGCATCCTAAGGGTAGTCCTCGGATCACGGCCACAGTTGAAGCCAGAACCTCTGTGGTTAAGTGAGACATTGGTGAAGTGGGTTTTGCCCCACTGTACGAACCTTTTGTTGCAAGTGTTGTTAAGCGAATCACTGCACTTGTTAAATTAGTAACGTGGTTGTTAAGTAAATTGGGCTTCCCTCCTTGACCTGGCTTGTGAGAAGGGCGCCAAAGGGGATCACGTGACGCTCCCCCCAAGGACGCTGCAACCGTCATAAATGTGAGTCAGTTGCCAAGCAGCTGAATACCGATCACATGACCTTGGTGAATGCTGCAATGGCTGTTAAGTATGAAAAAAGGTCGTAAGTCCTGTTTTTTTCAGTGGCGTTGCAACTTTGAACGGTCACTAAATAACTGTCGAAAGTCGAGGACTACCCGTATTCAGTGGTGGCTTTCGATGGCATTGCCAAAGCAGAGGTGTTGAGTTTCATTATTTTGTGATGTAAGAGACGGTGATGTACCCCCGCTTCCGAAAAATAAGCTTAGCACACTTTGAAATAAAATTTTTACACCCTCTCCTCAAAACAAAAGAAAAAAAAAAGAAGACTCACAGCAGATCCAGTGTGACCTGAAGTTGTTGGTCTCTGACATTACACAAATGGATCCCACTCTTCTCTCTGGCCAATCCCAGGATCTCCATTCTGCTTTGGAACAAGTACTAAGGGGAGGATGCAAACGGAAAATAAACTTGTGGCGCCCTTGGTGCTCTCCGATGTTTGGTTACCTGTCCAGGTAGCACCTTCAGCGCTAGAGAATAAAGTTTTCTCTCGCAATAGCTGTCTGTCTGGTTTTAAACTAGAAGTTTCTGGGAATTTGGTGGCTTTCTCTCATTTACATCCGCTCGAAACAGACTAGACTGCAAGCCTAAGAACATTTTTTTCTTGGTTCAACAGGGCCTCAGGAACATTGTGTGTGTGTGTGTTTGTGCGTGTGTGTGATTTTTTCTGCCCTACTGGTAATGACCAGAAACGCTCCTCCTTGTTAATGCAGCTTAGAAGGGGATTTAAATAAAGTCCAGTTCTTAACGAATAGAATAGAAATAAGAACAGAACAAAACAGAACAGAACAGAGTATAGAATAGAATAGAATAGAATAGAAATAAGAACAGAACAGAGTAGAGTGGAATAGAATAAAATAGAAATAAGAACAGAATAAAACAGAACAGAGTAGAATAGAATAGAAATAAGAACAGAATAAAACAGAACAGAGTAGAATAGAATAGAAATAAGAACAGAACAGAATAGAGTAGAATAGAAATACGAACAGAACAAAACAAAACAGAACAGTAGAATAGAATAGAAATAAGAACAGAACAGAACAGAGTAGAGTAGAGTAGAATAGAATAGAATAGAATAGAATAGGAGCTGGAAGGGACCTTGGAGGTCTTCTAGTCCAGCCCCCTGCTCAAACAGGAGAACCTATCCCATCTCAGACAGGTGATTGTCCAGTCTCTTCTTAAAAATCTCCAGCGATGGAGCACCCACGATTTCTGGAGGCAAAGCTGTAGGCTGTTCCACTGGTTGATCGTCCTCACGGTCAGGAAGTTTCTCCTTAAATCCAGGTTGCTTCTCTCTTTGGTCAGTTTCCAACTGTTGTTTCTCGTCCTTCCCTCTGGTGCTTTGAAGAATAATGTGACCCCCTCTTCTTTGGGGCAGCCCCTCAAATACTGGAACGCTGCTGTCATGTCACCCCTCTTTCTTCTTTTCTTTAGACTAGCCAAACCCAAGTCCCGGAGCTGTTCTTCGTATGTTTTGGTTTCTGATCATCTTAGTTGCTCTTCTCTGAACTTTTTCCAAGGTCTCAACATCTTTTTTTGTAGTAGGGTGACCATACTACAAGACTGGTCTTTTAAAACTGGTGGACTTCAACTCCCAGAATTACGTATGTCAGTGAAGACTCAAATCACCCAGGACAAATAGTATCCACAAAGGTTAAATCAATGCAAAGTTGATTAATCAACTTGGCTCCAATTGGCAGGACTGAACCTTTTTAATAGCCAGAATTGGATTCCCATGGGCTGGCTGGGGAATTCTGGGAGTCAAAATCCACAAGTCATGCAAGGGCCAAGTTTGAAGACCCCTGGTTTCTATTATACAGGGGTCTTCAAACTTGGCAACTTTAAGACTCGTGGACTTCAACTCCCAGAATTCCTCAGCCTTCTGTGGCACTTTCCCTTTCCACGCTAGGCATTCTTGCTGGAGGAACAGAGATGGGGCAGCGCAGGGGGCTTCGGACCCTTCCTTGCCACCCGTCTCCAAACTTTGCAATCAATGGAGCTTTGAGTCTACAGCAGTGGCCAAAATGGTGGCAACCTTTTGGGAAAAGTGTACAGCAGAAACGCCACCTTTGGCTATGTTTCCACCCATTTTTCTTCTAATTTCTTTATAACTGTAGCCTTGTTCACTTAATAAGACTATTTTACATCGCTTTCTGGGCGACCGGTCAACTCTTTGCACCATGGCTTTAATTTTATTACGTTTTGCAAGCTCACTCAATGAAAGAACACAAAAAACCCAGCCAACTTGATAGCCATCACACAACACACTGATCAATGTCTTCCTCTCAGCTTCAATACATGAGATCAATCACTGAATCCTACTGTGATCTAATTGGCCCATTGCCAAAACAAGAGGACACCTGATTGGCTCTCTAAACACTCATGCTCATCGGCTACAATCAGATGAAGGAAAGCCACCGGAGATCAACCTGAGCAAGTTGTGCTTCCTTTTTCTGGTTATTTAGCTATAACTTTTCACAGAATACAGCGCAGATAATTGAACAAACTTTGTTGCATTGCATTCTTGATTAAATTATCTTTTCATTGATATATAATTTTATGGCACTACTTCAAAAAAAAAAAGTGGTGTTATTAGCCATCAAACCTCAAAAATACACTTTTCCCAAAAGGTTTCCACAATTTCTGCCCCCCTCTAGCTGCCCCGCCCCTTTTCCCCTGGCTGCCCCGCCCCTCTCTGCCTGGATGCCCTGCCCCCTCTCTCTAGCTGCCCCGCCCCCTCTCTCTAGCTGCCCCTCCCCTCTGCCTGGATGCCCCGCCCCCTCTCTCTAGCTGCCCCACCCCTCTCTGCCTGGATGCCCCGCCCCCTTCTCTAGCTACCCCTCTCTCTGCCTGGATGCCCTGCCCCCTCTCTCTAGCTGCCCCGCCCCTCTCTGCCTGGATGCCCCGCCCCCTTTTCTAGCTGCCCCGCCCCTCTCTGCCTGGATGCCCCGCCCCCTCTCTCTAGCTGCTCCGTCCCTTTCTGCGTGATGCCCCGCCCCCTTTTCTAGCTGCCCCGCCCCTCTCTCTCCCTGGATGTCCGCCTCTCTCCGTCTCTGTCTGTCTCTCTCTCTTTTAACCGCCCCGCCCCTCTCTTCCTGGCCGCCCCGCCCTCTCCCTGAGTGCCCCCCCTCTCTCTAACCGCCCCGCCCCTCTCTCCCCGCCCGCCCGCCCCGCCATTGGCCGCCCCGCCCACGTGACCTCAGCGCGCTGCCCGGCGCGAAATTCAAACCGACCCGCGGACCTGCATCGCTCGCCCCGGCCTCGCCGCGCAGCCCGTTGGAGGGGCGCCGGTAAGAGCCTCCGCGCAGGCGGGAGGGCGGGCAGGGGGGTTCCGCGCCCGCGCTGCGTTCGGAGCGGCTCGTCCCAGCCCGGCAGCCCGGGAGGGATGCTCTGTGCCCGGGGGAAGCCCCCCCCAAGTCCGCCTCGTGGGAGCCCCGAAGCGGGGCGGCGGGAGAAGCTGGGCCGGGGCTGCCCAGCGGAGCCCGCGGCGGACGGCGGGCTGACCCCGGGCGCGGCCGTCTCTCTTGCAGGGTGGCTGCTGCCTCCCGATGAGGCTCCGCCGGGCCGTCCAGCATGAAGAGCCGGGCTCGCCAGCCGCTGATTCTGAAGAAGAGGAAGACGCCGCCGCCGCTGCAGGCCAGCCCCGCCGAGGACGCCGAAGCCGGCCGCCGAGCCGGCCGGGTCAAGCAGGAGCCAAGGCTCGCCCGCCAGCTCCGAGGCATCCCGGCCTCCCCCGGCCGGGTGGGCGCAGGTGAGCGCTCGGCCCCGCTCCGCCCCCCCGGGCTGCTCACCCCTGCCCAAGGCGTCCCGGAGAGGCCAGCCCCGGAACGGTCTCCTGGGAAGGACCCAGGCGGGCTGAGCCTGTGCAGCCAAGACAGCAGCCTGGGCCCCGGGCCCTTTCAGGACCTGTCCGGATCCGAAGAGGAGAGCCTGGCCACCAGCCGCGGGGCCCCCGAAGAGGAAGAACAGCTGTCCGGGATATGGCCCTGGAGCCCGGAGGAGTCGGACTTTTTGGCCTTGCAGTCCTTGGGGAGCCGAGAAGAGGAAGGACCCAGTATGTATGCAGCAACTCACTTCTTTGGAGAGTTGATATTGGCCCCTTACTCACTCGCTCACTCACTCAAGGGGGCTTGCATGCATATAAAAACACCATAGGGAAGAAAGAAAAATAATACAATAATCACACACACACACAAAAACAAACACACACACACACCATCCGAGTGACAACACACACGTTCATACCAGCCATTTAACGGGCTCCGTTCTACTCTGGGGGTTCCCCAGATCCTCTGGCAGAACCACGTCTTCAGGGCCTTGGGGACCGGTTTAATTCTCGCAAGGGTGATGTTCCAGAACAGTGGTTCTCAACCTTTTTAATGCTGAGACCCCCCTCCCCAAACCGGTCATTTAATCTGCTCCACAAGCATACAAGGTCATAGGTACCAATTTGATTATTGCCTATGCAATGCAATTCAGAAACATTTAAAATAATACGATAAAGTTAAAGACAAGCAGTATTTTGTAGGAATTGTTTTAACTCCTGTTTTGAGGAAATATCCATTGTTGCATGGGAATTTTATTTTTAAAAAAAATGCAAGCTTCTAGAGATCTTCGTTAGATTAGGATACACACACTAAATGAACGGTTGTAAGCCGAGAATTACCTATGCTTGGTCTAAATCAGTGGTTCTCAACCTTTTTAATGCCACAACCTCCCCAACTGGTCATAAGTCGAGGACTACTCAACCGGTGCAGCACCGTTTGCAGACTGGGACTTTTGGCGGGCTCAGCAGGGCAGAGACAGCCTGGACAATTCCTATTGGCTTTTGAAAGCCAATAGAATTAGACTCTGTTCAAGAGAGTCTGTTCTATTGGCTTTCAAAAGCCAATGGAATAAAAGGGAGTAGCACAGCTAAGGAAAAGGGGGAAACTTAACCAAAGGTGGCATTTCTTCTGTACATTTAATTCTTGATTAAATTATCTTTCCATTGATATATAATTTTATGGCACTACTCCCCCCCCCCCCCAAAAAAAAGTGGTGTTATTAGCCATCAAACCTCAACAATACACTTTTCCCAAAAGGTTTCCACAATTTTGGCCACTACTGTAGTTTCATCTAGTGATGCATTATTATTTATGTCTCAATAGGACATCAAACTCTAGATATCATCGCTGGTCATTTTAGTGGTATGATTCTCAGAGATTATACAGCATCCAGGTTTTCCCAGTAAGCCCTTCTCTGCTGTGCTAGAAGGTTTAGAAATAATAATTATCTCACAAAAGTCTGACTTCAAAGAGTTAATGCGATCATATATCATGGGAAAACGCTCCCATTTTGCGACAATAGAACCTAATGCAGCGAAAATCTCATTGCACATAGTCCGAAACTGCACAGGCAGCAAAAGTCTTGTTATTTTTCGACCCTGGAATAGAGTCTCTTCTCTATTCATGATAGCCTACTTTTATGTAAAGTCTGTTGAAATAGAAAAATCCCCTAGGAAACGCCATTTGCTTTATTAAACTATCAACCGGCAGAACAATTAATCACTGGAGCAGCTTGCCTCCAGAGGTTGTGGATGCTCCAACAGTGGAGGTTTTTTAACAAGAAGTTGGAAAACCATTTGTCCAGGATCTGCTTGAGCAGGGAGGTCAGACTAGAAGACCTCCATGGTCCCTCCCAACTCTGTTATTCTGTTTTTATGTTTTTTATTACTGGCAAAAGATCTAAAGATTTGTGCTATTCTTGCTTCTTCTTCTTCTTCTTGTTATTATTATTATTATTTTGCTGTTGGGCTGTATTTCTTTGGCCATTCCCCTCAACATGAAGGAGGCACCTTTGTTCTGAGAAATTTTCTTTTCTTTTTTTTAATTTTTATTTTTTAAACCAACAGAACAAAACATAACACACATACACACACAGTGTATACTCCTCCCTTTTTTTTTTAACAGCAATTTTGTGACGGTAATTTTCTATTGTTTACATCCCCCCCCTTATTCTTTAGATATATTTGCTGTCCCGTTGTTTCTTGTTTGCATTTTTCTTCCTTCATACTATACTTCATACTAAGAATAATACATGTTATTATTACTATACATTATTATACACACATTTTCCACTTTTGACCTTTCCACATTTATTCTCCTCTATTATTTCTAGTCTCCAACCAGTCATACCACTTGTTCCATAATAGATAGTCCTCTGTGTCTTCCTTTTCTTTTATCTTTTTTGTTAATTTGTCCATCTCAGCACAGTCCAGGATTTTACTTATCACTTCTTCCTCTGATGGTATATTCTCATTTTTCCAGAACGGTGCGTATGCTATTCTTGCTGCCGTTGTTATATGTAGAATTAAGTACCGTGTTTCTTTACTATATTTTCTGTTTAAAATACCCAGCAAAAAGATCTCTGGTTTCCAGTCTACGGGTTGGTCTATTATTTCTTCCATCCATCTGGTTCTGAGAAAATTTCAAGAGCTTTTTCTGGGCTCTGGTAAGAAGAAAAAGTGGTGGTGCTGGGGAGATGGGGAGCACATCTATGTGAGGGTGAAAGCTTTGTGAGTTTGTGACAAACCGTTGCCCGAACGGTAGACGTTTTGCTTGAGCAAAGGGGGGGTTGGACTAGATGACCTCCCAGATCCCTTCCCACCTTGTTATTCTATGTTTTTTTCTTTGAAGAAGAGTGTAGGGAAGACAGGAGGGTGAGCAGATCAGGAATGTAGGCAGTCCTCGGCTGAACGGCCGCGACTCAGCCCCAAATTTCTGTTGCTAAGTGAGACACTTTGAAAGTGAGCTTTGCCCCATTTTACGACATTTCTTAAGTGGATCGCTGCAGGTGCACAATCAGTGACCCGGTCGTTAAGAGAATCTGGATTCCCCCATTGACTTTGCTCGTCAGAAAGCTGCAAAGAGAGGAATCACGTGACCTCCCCCCCCCCGGGATGCTGCAACTGTCGTAAATCCAAGTCAGTTTCCAAGCACGTGAATTTTGATCACGTGACCCTGGAGATGCTGCCACCGGTGGTAAATGAAAAACGGCCGTTAAGTTACTGTTTTTTTGCGCCGTTTCAATTTCAAACGGTCACTAAACGAATCGCTCTAAGTCAGTGGTTCTCAACCTGTGGGTCGGGACCCCATTTGGGGTCGAACGACCATTTCATGGGGGTCACCAAACAATGCAGTCCGCCATTTTTTCCCCCCCTTTTCCTTAGCTGTGCTGCTCCCTTTTATTCTATTGGCTTTTGAAAGCCAATAGAATAGACTCTCTTGAATAGAGTCTAATTCTATTGGCTTTCAAAAGCCAATAGGAATGGTCCAGGCTGTCTCTGCCCTGCTGAGCCCGCCAAAAGCCCCATTCTGCAAACGGTGCTGCACCAGTTGCGTAGACCGATTGAGTAGTCCTCGACTTACGACCGGTTGGAGGTCGCGGCATTAAAAAGGTTGAGAACTACTGGCCTAGGGGCTGGGGCTGATTCCTGGGGGCTGATTTCTTTCTTTTTAAAAAGATCTTCTCCATTATTTCTTTGGGGGAAATATAGTCTGCCTTTTTAATATTCTCTCAAATATTCCTTTCTCTAGATTCTTCCCATGCCATCATAATGGTACCCAACCTCTTTTCTGCCAAAAGGCTAAAATTTCAAGCTCCCTCTCTGAAGGATCTACAGGTGCACTATTAAAAACTCAGTTTATATCCACGTAGGCAGCGAGGACTCGGTCAGTTCTGGCTTGAGCAGCAGTCTGACCAACATCCAATGGTTGGGCAAGATGTCTTCCACGGCGCTCAGCTCCTGTAGCGTGAAGAAGGACACGGAGAAGGAGAACCAGACCCCAGAGCAGAAGACAATTAAGGTAAGCAGAAGGCCAAAGAGCCTTGTGTGTGTGTGTGTGTGTTTTAGAAGAGATTGGAGTGCTATTTGTCTGAAACGACACAGGGTTTCCTGCCTGAGCAGGGGGTTGGACTAGAGGACCTCTAGGGTCCCTTTCAGCTCTGGCATTCTGCTCTTTTTCTACCAATTCCCTGCGGTTTCATAAGCAGCCCTTAACGATCTCCTCCTGTGAGTCAGGCTTTCGGATCCAGTGCATTGTGATAATGTGTCAAGGATGACTCCAAATTCCCGATCACCTGAGCGTTTCTTCACAAAGAGCCCATCAGCCACGTAGGCCGGTATGTTTTTAGAAAGTTAAAAAGGTAGATGTAAGACTGGAAGAAGGGCTGTGGGCGGGAGGGAGCGGAGCTGCTTTTCAGCAGCAGAAGAAAAAAATTGGATACGCATCTGCCTAATTAAAACAAAAAAAAACGCAAAAAGGGAAGATTTAAGACCTCCGGAGATGAGCATTGAACATGTGGACCAGAACAATTTTAGTGGTGTTTCCCATGATAAAAATCATAAGTAAGAGCCCTGGTGGCGCAGTGGTGAGAATGCGGCATTGCAGGCTGACTCTGCCCACTGTTAGGTGTTCTATCTATCCATCCATCCATCATTAATCAATCCATTATCCATCCAACTATCCATCCATCCATCATTATTAATCAATCAATCCATTATCTCTGTCTCTCTCTCTCTCTGTCTCTCTCTCTCTCTCATCTCTCTCTATCCAACTATCCATCCATCCGTCATTATTAATCAATACATTCTATCATCTATATCTATCTATCTGTCTATCTATCTATCTATCATCTATCTATCCAACTATCTATCTATCCAACTATCTATCCAACTATCCATCCATCCATCATTATTAATCCATCATCTATCTATCTATCTATCTATCTATCTATCTATCTATCTATCTATCCATCCATCCATCCATCCATCCATCCTCTATTAATCAATCCATTATCTGCCTGTCTGTCTAGCTATCCAACTATCCATCCATCCATCATCTATTAATCAATCCGTTCTCTCTCTCTCTCTCTCTCCCCCCCCCCCCCGTGGGACCCTTCTTTCTTAATTTTGGCTTTTGCTTCCCTACTTCAGTCTGAGGAGAGTCCCGCAGTGGCCGCCGTCTGTCCGGGTTCATGGAAGGAATCCTTCTCCGAACGGCCCCCCTACTCTTACATGGCCATGATCCAGTTTGCCATCAACAGCACCGAGAAGAAGCGCATGATGTTGAAGGACATCTACACCTGGATCGAGGACCATTTTCCCTATTTCAGGCATGTGGCCAAGCCAGGCTGGAAGGTAAAGCATCCTTTCACCTTTTAAAAACTTCTTATCATTATTATGAAATTTATTTCTTTAGATAATTTGCATTGCCACCTACTCGCATACTCAAGGCGACTCAAGGCGGCTGAGTTAAATAGAAAAACACCTTACATAAAAATAAAACGAGAGGAAAAATAACACAACCATATAATAATTCCCTATCCCCCACCTCCCAGTGACAACACACATTAAACTCGCCATTGGCTGGGCTCTAAAATATTATAAAAATATACAGCATACAAATTATACATTTTTTTTACACTATAAAATATTACACGGTCGGTTCTCAGCTCACAACCATTTGTTTAGTGACCGTTGAAAGTTACAACAGCAGTACAAAAGTGATTTATGACAGTTTTCCAACTTATGATGGCTACATCTCCATGGTCGCTTGATCAAAACTCGGACACTAGGCACCTGGTTCATATTTATGACCGTCGCAGTGTCCAGGGGTCAGGTGATCTCCTTTTGCGACCCCACAGTTGTCGTCGTCGTCCTCCTCCTCCTCCTCCTCCTCCACCACCACCACCACCATCATCATCATTCCATAAACCCTACATCCCTCTAGCACTGATGAAGTTGACTAGTTTGCGTAATGAAACGTCTGCAAGAAAACAAGCAAGCTCAGAGAGCACCAAGGACCCCACAGTCCTCCTCTGCAGACACCACTCCAGCACTGATGATGTTACCTAGTTTGGTAACGAAACGTCTGCAAGAACACAGCCAAGCTCAGAGAGCACCAAGGTCCCCGTAATATGGGAATTACATCGCTTCAACTTTACATCTTTCTTTCCCTCCTAACTTAGCTAACTGTTTTGTCAGCGAAACCAATAGATGTTTTGGGTTTTTTTTCCCCACCTCTGCAATTTAGAACTCCGTGCGTCACAATCTTTCCCTTCACGACATGTTTGTTCGGGAGACGTCTGCCAATGGAAAAATCGCATTCTGGACCATCCATCCCGAAGCAAACCGTTACCTGACCCTGGATCAGGTGTTCAAGGTGAGTAGCAGGTAGGAAAGGAACGTTTCCCAGTGCTTTCTTCCTCTACCGTTTTATGCATCGAAGTGAGATTTTATTTAAGTGAAGAGGGAGGCAGGTTGACAGCCAGCAGCTGTTGGAGAGTCCTGCCTTCATGTGCTTTGGAGAATAGCTTGACTCCCTCTTCTTTGGGGCAGCCCCTGAGATACTGGAGCATTGCTATCATGTCCCCCCTGGTCCTTCTCTTCGTTAAACTAGACGTACCCAATTCCAGCCACCGTTCCTTATATGTTTTAGCCTCCAGTCCCTTAATCATTTTTGTTGCTCTTCTCTGCACTCTTTCTAGCGTCTCAGCATCTTTTTTACACCGTGGTGACCAAAACTGGATGCAGGATTCCAAGTGTGGCCTTACCAAGGCCTTGTAAAGTGGTATTAATCCCTGAGCCAGCCCTGCTGAGGGGAAAGGGAGAGTTTCCAAGCTGAGCCATGCTGGCTCAGGAATTCTGGGAGTTGAAGTCCACGAGTCATAAAAGAGCCAAGGTTGCCTACCCCTGCCCTATACCATTGTGGACAAATGGCTGTCCAGTCTCTTCTTAAAAACTTCCAGTGTTGGAGCATTCACAGCTTCTGAGGCAGGTAGTTCCACTGGTTAATTGTTCTGATTGTCAGGAAGTTTCTCCTTAGCTCTAGATTGCTTCTCTCCTTGGTTAGTTTCCATCTGTTGCTTCTTGTCCTGCCTTCAGGTGCTTTGGAGAATAGCTTGACTCCCTCTTCTTTGGGGCAGCCCCTGAGATACTGGAGCATTGCTATCCTGTCCCCCCTTGTCCTTCTCTTCATCAAACTAGACATACCCAATTCCAGCAACCGTTTGTTTTAGCCTCCAGTTCCCTGATCATCTTTGTTGCTCTTCTCTGTACTCTTTCTAGAGTCTCAGCATCTTTTTTACATCGTGGTGACCAAAACTGGATGCCGTATTCCAAGTGTGGCTTTACCAAGGCCTTGTAAAGTGGTATTAACACTCCACATGATCTTGATTCTATATAAGACCCAGTCTTATTTTGGGGGAAAAACCAGATACTTGTGCTCCAGTAAGATGAATTCTGAAGCCCTCAACCTTGGCTAGGATTTTCCAGAGTGGTGGTCTTTTTTTATTTTATCAAGTTCCCTTCTCAGAATTCTCGTAGGAGTATCGCTTGGGCAGAATTTCAATCCCTTTGGAGAAAAAAATCTATTTATACCCCTGTCCTTTTGAAAAATAAAAAAGTGCTGTGTCCTATAGCAATCGTCAAAGTGGCATGAAGGAGCTTGCCCTTCCGAAAGGAGGCTTCGGCATCTATTTAGACCCGTCCAAATTTAATCGGCGTGACAAGGTGAAATGGTGATTAAAGAAATGGTGTCGGATAACAGACTGACTCAGACAAATCCCTGTGCAGGAATGCTGGGAGGAGAGAAAGTCCCTCATTTTTTTTTGTTTTTTTTCCTTGACGATTCAGAGTGTGTGACAAACCAACCCTGGCTCTTCTTATTGGAAGAGAATCAACAGTTTTCCTCTTCCTTCTTCTCCAGGCTGGAAGTACTTAAAATCATAGAGTTGGAAGGGACAGGAAAAACATCCTAACAGTGAGGACGATTAACCAGTGGAACAGCTTGCCACCAGAAGTTGTGGGCGCTCCATCACTGGAGGTTTTCCAGAATATGAGCCGAGGTGGCGCAGCAGTTAGAGTGCAAGTACTGCAGGCCACTTTAGCTGACTGTGTTCAGCAGGTCAGCAGTTCAAATCTCAGCAGCTCAAGGCTGACTCAGCCTTCCATCCTTCTGGGGTAGGTAAAATGAGGACCCAGATTGTTGGGGGCAATGTAAATTTATATATATACATTGCTTCCTGGTGTACACCGCTTAGAGAGTGCTTGCACTTAAAGCGGTATATAAGTCTCATAAATAAATAAATAAAGAGACTAGGGGTGACATGATAGCAATATTTCAGCATTTGAGGGGCTGCCCCAAAGAAGAGGCAGTCAAGCTATTCTCCAAAGCACCTGGAGGCAGGACAAGAAGCAACGGAGGGAAACTAATCAAGGAGAGAAGCAACCTAGAACTAAGAAAAAACTTCCTGATAATGAGGACAATCAACCAGTGGAACTCCTTGACTCCAGAGGTTGAGAATATATCAGAAGCATTCTAGGGGTGGGGTGGGGTATAGAAAAGGCTGGGAACCACTGCATTAAGGACTACTTCTTGAGTATGGTTTGTCAGCCAGTTACAAACCCATCTGGTGGTGATGCTGTCTATTCCACATTTTTCTAGCTTACCAAGAAGTAGGTTGTGGTCTGCTTTGTCAAATGGCTTGCTGAAGTCTAAATATACTATACTACTATTACTACTACTACTAATAGTAGTAGTGGTAGTAGTAGTAGTAGTTGAGGTGGAAGGGGTTAAGTGTGAAGAACCTCTAGAATTTTCTCCTAAGACTATGCCTCCAGCAATCCCCATCTTCTGCTCTGTGCAGAAGAGATGGAAGATCCGGGAGTTGTTGTTTTTTGTTTTTGCTATTTCACTTGAGTTTTGGGGGAACTAGCCAGTAAAGGGAGATCAGAATAGCAGTGTTGGAAGGGACCTTGGAGGTCTTCTAGTCCAACCCCCTGTTCAAATATGGCCATTTCAGAGAAATGGAGGTCCAATCTCTTCTTAAAAACCTCCAGTGTTGGAGCATTCACAACTTCTGGAGGCAAGTGGTTCCACTGGTTAATTGTTCTCACTGTTAGGAAATTTCTCCTTAATTCTAGGTTGCTTCTCTCCTTGGTTAGTTTTTCCATCCATTGCTTCTTGTTCTGCCTTTGGAAAACAGGTTGACTCCCCTCCCCGGTCTTCTTTGGGGCAGCCTCTTAGATATTGAAACAACGACTATCATATCACCCTTCGTCCTTCTCTTCATTAAATAGACCAGTGGTTCTCAACCTTTTTAATGCCGTGACCCCCAACCGGTCGTAAGTCGAGGTCTACTCAACCGGTTGTAAGTCGAGGACTACTCAACTGGTGCAGCACCATTTGCAGAATGGGACTTTTGGCGGGCTCAGCAGGGCAGAGACAGCCTGGACAATTCCTATTGGCTTTTGAAAGCCAATAGAATTAGACTCTATTCAAGAGAGTCTATTCTCTTGGCTTTCAAAAGCCAATAGAATAAAAGGGAGTAGCACAGCTAAGGAAAAGGGGGGGGGGAAATGGCGGACTGCGTTGTTTGGCGACTCCCGTGAAATGGTCGTTCGACCCCAAATGGGGTCCCGAGCCACTGAACTAGACCTACCCAATTCCTGCAACTTTCTTCATATGTTTTAGCCTCCAACCCCCGATCCTCTTTGTTGCTCTTCTCTGCCCTCTTTCTAGAGTCTCAACATAATTTCTATATCGTGGTGACCAAAACCGGATGCAGGATTCTAAGCGTGCTCTTACCAGCGCAGTATAAAGTGGTGTTAACACTACCTGTGATCTTGATTCTATCCCTTTGTTAATGCAGCCTTGGATTGTGTTGGCTTTTTGGGCAGTTGCAGCACACGGCTGGCTCATCAACTCCACTTGCTCCTTTACCTTCAGTCGGTCCTGGCCTGTTGGACCCTTCACTTTCTTTTTTCTTCTCTCTCGATCTTAATGCAGCAGCAGAAACGTCCAACTTTGGATCTGCAGAAGAACGCGAAAGGCACCAAGATGGAGGCTCAGATCTCCCGTAAGTATCGGATTGCCTCCTTGCCAAGCCCTTACTCCACGCTGCTCATTGGAGGAAGCAAATGGAAGCCATTTGGTTGATAGGAAGGACAGACTGTAAGGGTATATAGGGAAACGGTGGCAGGGGGAATAGATTTCCTGACAGTGAGGACAATTAACCAGTGGAACAACCTGCCTCCAGAAGTTGTGAATGCTCCAACACTGGATGTTTTTAAGAAGAGATTGGACAGCCACTTGTCTGAAATGGTATGGGGTTTCCTGCCTAAGCAGGGGGTTGGACTAGAAGACCTCCAAGGTCCCTTCCAACAACTACTATTACTACTACTACTACTACTACTATTATTATTAATAATAGTATTGTATTATTATAGTATATTTAGACTTAGCAAGGCATTTGACAAAGTAGACCACAACCTACTTCTTGGTAAGCTAGAAAAATGTGGAATAGACAACATCACCACCAGATGGGTTTGTAACTGGCTGACAAACCATACTCAAGAAGTAGTCCTTAATGCAGTGGTTCCCAGCCTTTTTCTATACCCCCCACCCCTAGAGTGCTTCTGATATATTCTCACACCCCTTAACAAAAGTTCAAAACGAATTATGCTTATACACTATAATTTTGAAACTTCTAAACCCAGGTTTTCACACCCCCTGGGATATCGTCTCGCATCCCCGGTTGGGAACCCCTGCCTTAATGGTACTACATCTACATGGAGGGAAGTAAACAGTGGGGTACCACTTTGGCCACCTAATGAGACCTAATGAGACCTTTGGCCACCTAATGAGAAGGAAGGACTCACTGGAGAAGGGCCTAATGCTGGGAAAGATGGAGGGCAATAGAAGAAGGGGACGACAGAGAATGAGATGGCTGGGTGGAGTCACTGAAGCAGTAGGTGTGAACTTAAATGGACTCCAGAAGATGGTAGAGGACAGGAAGACCTGGAGGAACGTTGTCCATGGGGTTGCGATGGGTCAGACACGACTTTGCAATTAACAACAACAACAACAACCAGAAGGCTCCGTCTTAGACCCGGTACTCTTCAATATCTTGATTGATTGATTTTCTTTCTTAGGGCCAAGGATTAAGCCCTTGCTGCCACGGGTCAGTTCCTACATGGTTCCAGTCCACTTCCCGACGAGCGAGCCATTCCATCTCCCGTTGCCTTCAAGGCCACCTCTGCCTGCAGACCAGACTGCCTTGGGGACCATGCAGGGCAACCCAGCCGAACACCCTGCGCCAAAGGTTAGTCTCACACGTCTCCTCATTTTTCTTGGGTGCACGTTTGTCTGAATGCTCCAGGCTAACCTCAGCACCCGTGGAACCGGACCCAGCTGTCTCTCAGGCAGTTCTTCCATGCAGATGGGCTTTGCCAAAGGTGAGGTAGGAGGCCTTTGGCTAGCAAAAAAGCCTCTTAGAAAGGAGTAGATGTCCTCGGGAACCGAGCAGGATCTCGGCTAGAAGTGGGTTTATTTTTCCCTGCCCTCTGCCATCCTTATCCATGTGGGTTTGGTCCTTGGCCTTTGCTCCCCGCTTCCTTCATTCCCTTTTATTCCTTCTCAAGACTGGTGTGACCCGGTGGGGGTGGGGGTTAGGGTTACTGATTAAAATCAGTCTGATTTTAATCAGTTACAATCCACCGTAATTCCTACCTGCTTATTTTCAGCTTCTAGTTCCAGACCTTTCTTTTCTAGATTGTTCTCGAATGCTCGCCTTCGATCCTGAAAAAAAGAAAAGCCGACAGTTGCTTATTTGTTATTTAACCAACATGAGGTTTTTTAAATATACAACAGCTTTTAAACATGGTTCTTTTGCATCAGAAGCAACACCGGTGAACGCGAAGGGAGAGAGAGGGAGAGAGAGAGAGACTTATGACTGTTTTTCACCCTTATGACCGTTGCAGCATTCTTACAGACACATGATCAAAAATTCGGACACTTGGCCACGGACTCGTATGTTATTTTTAGAAAACCCCAACTTAACTAGTGCAGTGATTCCCTTAAGAACTCAGACGAGAAAGATTGTAGAATGGGGCAAATCCCACTTAACAACTGTCTCGCTTAGCAACAAAATGTTGCCCTCAATTGTGTCGTAGGTTGAGGACAGGATCTTCGGCCAATGCATAGATTCCCTCAACGCTGTTGGAGATCCCTCTTGGCTCAAACAGCCCCTCTAATTTTTGAATAAATGGAGGCTAAGCACAACGGTCAGTTTAAGAGGGCAAAATAAAATTCCCACACCTAAAAGATAACTAACCCCCCTCCCCGGGGAGAATGTGTCTAAAAATGAAGAGTGTTGTTGTCAGCTTCTTCCTTCCCATGTTGGTTTTGCAGATCCTGCGCTCCAGCGAAGAACCGGTCCTGTTGCCTTCTCCGAGCTCCATAAAGGAGGAAAAATATTGCGGCGAAGAGTCTTGTTCATTAAACCCACAGTGCCCTCTTGAGGAAGGCAGTTGTACAGACAGCGGAAAACCATTGGCGGGAGTTCTGAGCGACAGTTTTCTCTCCCCGGAGTGGGTCTCCTCTTTCCTCCCGGTATGGCCTGTGAAGGAGGAACCAGCGGGAGCTGGTGAAGAGCAGGACCTCCGTGTGCAAGCGTCCCCCATAAAACAAAAGAGACAGGTTACAGGGGTCAGGTCAGCCCCCCAAAGTACGCTGGTTATAAAGAGGCAAGAATTGGGCAGATCCAGAAGGAAGCAGCACTTAGCCCTCTCTTCCTCAGAAGAACCGGTTCTCCTTCTGCCCCTCGGTGGTGGTGGCTCAACATCCTTCCTGATGAGACAATGTCCTTCCACTCTGGAGGAACCTCTAGAGACCCTTGTCTGTGGTCCAGAAGAAGACCCTCCAGTGAACTGCAGGCGGCCCAAAGCTTCCACCCCAAATAAAGTGCCCATAACCACTTCTATACCCCTGCCACCTACTGACCAGTGGAGATTGACCCCTTTGGTCAACGAAAGGAGCACGGTTGATTTCAGTTCTCCGAGATCTTCTCCCTTGCCGTTCCTGCCCTTCCAGGATAATTTAGATCTGGAGTTTAATGAGACCTCACTGAGGCAATCCTTGGGCGACTCTCCCCAGTGTCCACTTCTGAACGCGGAAATGGGTGAAATAGTCCCTGAACTCTTGGACACTTCTTCCCCATCCAGCAAGGTGGCCTGTGAGCTTCCAGGGGACAACTCCCTTCTGGAAGACCTTGTTTTGGAGAACATGCCTGAGAACTGGAGCAAGCTCTCGCTGGACCTCAGTTTTCCAGACCCCGAGAACTTGGAGACCGATCTGAGCTGGTCACAGCTCCTTCCTCACCTAAAATGACCCAGTTGGGCTCCTTGCAAATAACTTCACCTGGGCGGCACATTCAGAAGACCCCAGTCCCATACCTTACTGGCATTTCAGCAAATATGGGTCTTGATTAACTCAGAGGTCACCCGAATGTAAGGATCGAGAAAGCCGTAGCCACGATAGGTTGAAGGAAGACTCCCTATCCTGTTTTCTACACCTGCTTCTTTGCAGATGATGGTTTGGGCAAATCTAGAACACTCCCGTAAGGGGTCAGATGGAAAGCTCCAGGGCTGTCAATAGTTTTGGAGACAACTTCTAGAGTTTCTGCTGAAGGAAAGATTCATCTATTGAAAGGTGTCTGGGCTACCCAAATGACATCTTACCTAGCCTTGGGCCTTAGATGTTAATCCCTTGATGCTTTGGGGCAATTGCTGTCTTATTCTAATAAGAGAAGCTTGATCTCATTGCTAAAGTCTGAAAATTAGGTTCAGGGCTGCTAGACAGTCAGAAAACAATAAAATTGGTGCCTCTCCATGGGATTCCCGCCACATCTGTAGCCTAAAGCATCATGAGAAGTGTGTTAAGGGGCCGCATTTAGCTAACTAAAGTGGGATCTGCTTATCTAGAGGCTGTGGCGTTTCGCCTCTAGCTAGGACAGTGTTTCTCAACCTTGACAATGTTAAGGCATGTGGACTTCAACTCCCAGAATTCCACAGCCAGCATTGCTGGCTGTGGAATTCTGGGAGTTGAAGTCCACATGCCTTAAAATTGTCAAGGTTGAAAAACACTGAGCTAGGATGTGTTGCGCCTGCACAAACCGCCAGCACTTAAAGCCACAAAGCAGCTCCCAAGTTCCACTGCCAGCCGTAGGAAGCCTGAACGCAAAATCCAGAGGCCACATCTCTGGTTCCCCAAGATTGCTGAAAAGCTGGGCTTCTTGGTCTGCAGGCCAAGCAATTTCCCCCTCCCCCCCCCTGGCGTTGTGGAGCTGGAAGTAGATTTACTTCCTTGATTGAATAGTTCCAGCTGCCTTGATAATCTCCGGCAGTCGAAACAGCGAAGCGGAGGTCGCCATGTCGAGCGAACAGACACTCTGAAGCTGATAGATTCCTCCCTCTGTAAAGTTCTGGAGAACAGCTTTAAATTGAGGTTTTCCTCCATTGAAACAATCCGGCCTGCTCTCTTTTAGAGGGGGTCTTAAAATCAGAAACCGGAGTCACGTCCGTCTGGGCCAGCCCGTGCGTTCGTGATCCTCGCAAGAGCAATAAAACCCGAATGCCTGACCTTTCTTCCACATCATTCATGCTTTTAAAAAAATTATGTTGGCCTCCTTCGAACAAGGAAGGCGGAGGGAGGGAGCAACTGAAGTGAGGCTCGGGGCATGGTGTTCCGATTTCGGCCCAAATCGGACGCCTCCAGGTTGACATGAGACTGGCGCTTCAGAAGAAGTGCCGAGTTGTCTCAGAATGGGGGGCTTTTTGTGCTGGAAAAAGGACTGGGTGGTCTCTGAAACGACGCTAGCTAGAGCAGGCGCAGAGATGGGCTGAGGAGTCTTGCTGTCCCCAAGGATGTGGTGGTCACTGGTTAGGCTGCCTCCTGGTTTTGTGGGAGCCCACGGCCTTGTTCTCTGCATGAGCACGCTTTGTCATTTATTTGTTTTGTTTCTGCCCTCCTTCCAAAGCGGTGTTAGGTTCTGTCTGGGCAAGCTTCTGATCTTCAGGAACCGGAATCACCCATGAAAAATTTCCCTCTGGTTGGGATAACGCTGCAAGACCGATTCTCTCGGGTCCAGCTGGCTGGACTGATGGAGAGACCGACGGGAGGACCACAAAATGCACCTTTTCTTGCTTGCATTATTATTTTTTTCTTTCTTTCCATCTCTGGCCAGTTTCTTCAGCTGCAAGAGCATCACCTCCTTTCCCAAGCCAATATCCCGGCACGCGCTCCTTTACATATTTGGGAGCTCCCCTCTGTGCGTGTGCCTGGTTATCGTTTTTCTCGTGGATTCCTAACTTGGCGGGAGGCTCTTAAAATCGGCGTTGCTGTGCGATAGCTCTTCCGATGTTTCTGTGGGAATTTTTTTGCACTGCTCTGGCTTGCAGCAAACTCGACGCACATGTAAATCTAGCAATGGTAAATAAACTCCCCTTCGAATCAGCTGATTCTGTGTGACTTTGGTGTGCTTTTCGTGGAGACAACACAAATGTAGTGGGCCATTGTTTCCTCCAGGAAGTTTTTCCCAACACGGCATCCAGCCCTGTTGGTCTCCCATCTGATCAATTCTGATGCCATCCATCAAATGTCTTTATGCATGTTCTGGGTGTTTCATCACTAGAGATTTTAAAGGAGAGACTGGACAGCCACTTGTCTGCAATGGTATAGGATCTCCTGCTTGAGCAGGGGGCTGGACTAGAAGACCTCCAAGGTCCCTTCCAGCTCCTATTCTATTCTGTTCCTTGTATCATATTGTCTTTGTATTCTATTCTATATTTCTTTTCTATTCTATATTTCCATTCCATTCCATATTTTCTATTCTGTTCTATTCTATTCCACTCCACTTTATATTCTATTTTACTATATTCTGTTCTATATTTCTATTCTATTCCATATTTCCACTCCATTCTATATTCTATTCCTTTTTTCTATTCTATTCCTCGTATCATATTGTCTTTTTGTATTTATTCTATTCTATATTTCTATTCTATATTTCTATTCCATTCCATTCCATATTTTCTATTCTGTTCCATTCTATTCCATTCTCTATTCTATTATATTCTACTACATTCTGTTCTACTCTATTCTATATTTCTATTCCATTCCATTCCACTCCATTCTATATTCTATTCTATATTTTTATTCTATTCTATTCTATATTTCTATTCTATTCCAAACTGAATTGCACTATAAGTCAAGGACAGGCAATCAGATGGAAATTAGAAATCTGACACAATTGGGAAGCAAAATGGAAAGCCCACGGAATGTCCAAGATCAGCTCTATTCTGGTTACTTATTACTAATCCAACAATAAATACACACTTCTATGAGGAAGAATCTGTAGATGAAGGGGACCTGCTGCTCAAAATACAAGAATATCTGAATTCTAGCCAGAGATGGTATTTTTTTTTTTGTTGTCAACATTGATCAGGACGCCACAAACGATCTCAGATTAAGCTGTGGGATAGGGATGGGCTAAGAGTGACTCATAACAAAGTCTGAATGGATCTGGGTCTCTTACAAAGGGTGACTTTCTGAATTTAATGGGATTAGTCAAGGTAAATACGCGTGGGATTACAGAGAAGCTCATACTGGTTTATATTAATTTCCATATTAGACTTCTAAGTCACACAGGCTGCCTTGCTTTTAACAATGGTTGGAAACTGAACAAAGAGAGAAGCAAGCTGGAATTGAGGAGAAACTTCCTAACAGTTGAGGACAATTAACCAGTGGAACTGCTTGCCACCAGAAATTGCGGGCGCTCCATCACTGGAGGTTTTTAAGAAGATATTAGACAGTCACTTGTCTGTCTGAAATGGATCTGCTTGAGTAGGGGGCTGGACTAGAAGACCTCCAAGATCCCTTCCAGCTCTGCTCTGTTCTACTCCTCATATTATATTGTCTTTTTCTATTCTATTCTATTCCTCGTGTTATATTATCTTTGTATTCTATTCTACCCTACCCTATCCTATCCTATCCTATCCTATCCTATCCTATCCTATCCTATCCTATCCTATCCTATCTGAATTGCACCATAAGTCACGGACAGACAAATCAGCTACCAGTTCTGGAAATTAAAGACCTGACACAATTGGGAAGCAAAAAACAAGGAATGTTTTTAATCCCCCAATCCTGTGTAGGGAGACGAGTGTCACCATCTCCTTCCTTCAGGCCTTGATTGAAGTCACAGTTCCTAGGGTGTGACATCACAACTAGTTGCTGTGGCAATTCTTCCGCTAAGGAAAGTGAGAAAACCCAACTTCTGCTAACCCAGGTAAAAGAAACAAGATGTGAAGGCCCTATAGAATAAAGGCAGGTAGTTCTCTCGGCTTTATTCGTGTGGAAATACAGGGTTTTTTTAACTCTCTCTCTTTCAATTGCATAATTCAGTCTTGTCAAAATATTCACAGTCCCTTTCTTGTTTTCCTTCCAAGTTCTTTTGAGGCACACACACACACACAGACACGTGTGTGTGTGTGTGTGTGTGTGTGTGTGTGTGTGTGTGTAGGTCTTTGGTTATTCGGGTTTTCTCCCGTGTAAAATTGGAAGTGTCTTGGCGACGTTTTGACAAAGTCCAATTCGTCATCTTCAGGCTGGTGTTTTCAGCTTCGTGCTTTGAGGAGCAAACCTACTTTCCAAAGCACCGGAAGGCCAGACAAGAAGCCACGGATGGAAACTCATCAAGGAGAGAAGCAACCTGGAACTAAGGAGAAACTTCCTGACAATGAGAACAATTAACCAGTGGAACCGCTTGCCACCAGAAATCGTGGGCGCTCCATCAGTGGAGATTTTTAAGAAGAGAATAGACAGCCACTTGTCTGAGATGGTATAGGGCAGGGGTAGGCAACCTCGGCTTTTTTATGACTCATGGACTTCAACTCCCAGAATTCCTGAGTCAGCTATGCTGACTGAGGAATTCTGGGAGTTGAAGTCCATGAGTCATAAAAGAGCCGAGGTTGCCTACCCCTGGTATAGGGTCTCCTGCTTGAGCAGGGGGCTGGACTAGAAGACCTTCAAGGTCTCTTCCAGCTGTGTTACTCTGTTATTCTGTTAAAGGTATGAAAAATTTAGAAGTTGTGGGTGCTCCATCACTGGAGGTCTTTAAGAAGAGACTGGACAGCCACTTGTCTGGAATGATATAGGGTCTCCTGCTTGAGCAGGGAGCTGGACTGGTCACCTCCTAGGGGGGATAGGCAGATGTGGATGTTTGATGGTATTACAGATCTCGTTGCAGGATGGAAGCAATTCCTAGTAAGGCTGCCTTTTGCAATTGACTAATAGCGAATTTGTCAATGCCAATGGTGTTCAAGTGGTGCTCCAGTTGTTTTGGGATTGCACCCAAGGCGCCTATGACTATTGGTACTACCCTTGCTTGTCTTTGCCACAGTCTTTCTATTTCTATTTGTAGGTCTTTGTATTTTGTTATCTTCTCCAGTTCTTTCTTGTCTATTCTGCTGTCTCCAGGCACTGCCACGTCCACTATCCAGACTTTTTTTTTTGTCTTTCTTATCGACAATTGTTAAGTCCGGGGTGTTATGTTGCAGGTGCTATTATTATTATTATTATTATTATTATTATTATTATTATTATTATTATTGATGATGATCATCATCATCGCACAGTCAGCCAGATGTTCAGACTGGATTTGGCATTTTTGTCTACCTATCGAGTCCTTACCCAGGACCTGGGATAGACAGATGTGGATGTTTGATGGTATTACAGATCTCGTCGCAGGTTGGAAGCAGTTTTATTATTATTATTAGGCTTACAAGATTGATAAATAAAATATCGCTGAGGTTGCTGGAGCTTCTGAGGTCTGTCAGCCACTTTCTCTTTCCCAGCTAGGGTCTCTCTGCCGGCCTTTTCAAAGATGTCCACCTGGAAAGAGAGGCACTACCTTTGCACAGAGAAATACACACCATGGCCGGGATTTTCTCCCCGACCCTACCACAAAC